TATCATCTTGCTTTGTTTTCATCATAGAAAATGTGCCAAATCGCATAAACAAAGCCAGTTTACCTCCAAATATATACCGACTTCTATCGATGATATTTTCAAATCTGATGGATCGCACCATACTATTTAGGGCCTCTGACAGGTTGCGGAAAAAAGTCAAATTTCGCGGGATTATTAGGGACAAATTCGCGAAAATATCGGCCAATTTCAAGGGAATTTTTGGGGCAAACTTCGCCGAAAAGCATGTGCAGTTGGTAAAAAAACAGCCAATTTTGTGGTTATTTTCAGGAAAAATTAGCTAGAAATCGATCGGTTTGGCGCTGATCAGACCAGCATTTTTAACGTTTTTCTAACAGAGGTCATCTTTAATTTGCTCTTTCAACAACCATACACTCCAGAAATAAACCAATGCCAAAGCCTTTAACATCATGGCTAGTGCCCAGTTTTTCACAACATAATTTCGCCTGGTAGTTTCGGGACGTTGTTTGCACATTTCAGTGACGAAGTTTCAAGACACATTTGCTGAGATAAGTTTCAAATATGTTGTACAGACATGTATTTGATAAGATTTCTACAGAATTTTGAGGTATTTTGTGTGCTTTTGTGAATTTAGAGGATGTACCTGAATTTCTCGGCTTCGCGACCGCGCAAAATATCACAAGCCCTTAGCTGCGTCATTTACAATATGCAAACTGGCAACTAAAAATTTGCATCTGGCGACTATATTTCTCCAGTTGGTCGCCAAAAGGCGACCTGAAGATTTTTTTGCTTTCGAGCCCTGTTGTAGATAAAAATTAAAGAAGCCTTGAAAGACTACAAGAATGTCTGTTTATTAACAACACAAAATTAGAATTTTTGCAAAGGGGTTAGTCCATCATCTTGGTCAAAAATTTGAGATTTCTTAAACTTTGATTTTAATGCAAAATAGACCAAGAAAAAGTATCTAGGAACGTTCTAGTTAGAAAAAAGTTTCTGACATCCTTTGTAACCTTCTGTCACCCCATGTAACCCCTGTAACCCCTTGTAACCCCCTGTAACCCCTTGTAACCCCTTGTAACCCCCTGTCACCCCTTGTAACCCCCTGTCACCCCTTGTAACCCCTTGTAACCCCCTGTCACCCCTTGTAACCCCCTGTCACACCTTGTAACCCCCTGTCACCCCTTGTAACCCCCTGTCACCCTTTGTAACCCCTGTAACCCCTTCTAACCCCCTGTATTCCCATGTAATAGATCGTGAAAATAAATCGTGAAAAAACGATTTTCAACGTTTTATATAGTAAACAAGCCTTTCTGGACAATGAAAACATCAGTTCAAAAACCCACAAAATTGGCATTTTTCCAAAGTGGCTAGTCCATGGTTTTGGTGAAAAATTTGAAATTTTGTTAACATTTCGTTTCTTGCAAAATAAACTGAGAAAAAGTATTTGGTGACGTTCTCATTACAAAACGAGCCTTTCAAGACAATACAAACATGCATTTAAAAAGAACGCAAAATTGGCATTTTTCCAAAGGGGATAGTCCATGATTTTGGTCAAAAAGTCGAAGTTTTTTCATCTTTTGTGTTTATCAAAAATAGATCGAAGAAAAGAGTTCGCTGATGTTGTAGAGAAAGAAGAAGCTTTGAAAGACTACAAGAATATCTGTTTAATAAAAACGCAAAATTAGAATTTTTGCAAAAAGTTTAGTCCTTTCTTTTGGTCAAAAATTTGACATTTCTTCAACTTTGATTTTTATCAAAAATAGACCAAGAAAAAGTATCTGGGAACCTTCTAGTTAGAAAAAAGTTGCTCAAATCTTTTATAACCCCCTGTAACCCTTTGTAACCCCCTGTCACCCCTTGTAACCTTCTGTAACCCCTTGTAACCCCCTGTTCCCCTATAACCCCTTGTAACCTTCTTCACCCCCTGCCACCCCTTTTAACTCCCTATCACCCCTTGTAACCCCCTGTCACTCCCTGTAACCCCTTGTAACCCCATGTCACCCCTTGTAACCCCCTGTAACCTCTTGTAACCCCCTGTCACCCCTTGTAACCTCCTGTCACCCCTTGTAACCCCCTGTCACTCCTTGTAACCCCTTGTAACCCTCTGTCACCCCTTGTAACCCCCTGTAACCCTTTGTAGCCCCCTGTAACCCCTTGTAACCCCCTGACACTCCTTGTAACCTCCTGTAACCCCTTGTAACCTTCTGTTACCCTTGTAACCTCCTGTCACCCCTTGTAACCCATTGTAACCCCTGTCACCCCTTGTAACCCCCGTAACCTACTGTAACCCCTGGTAACCTCCTGTCACCCCTTGTAACCTTTTGTAACCCCCTGTAACCCCTTGTAACCCCCTGTCATCCCCTGTAACCCCTTGTAACCCCCTCTAATTTCTTGTAACCCTCTTCACCCCATGTCACCCCTTTTAACTCCCTGTCACCCCTTGTAACCCCTTGTAACTCCTTGTAACCTTTTGTAACCCTTTTTAACCCCGTGTCACCCCCTGTCACCCCTTGTAACCCCCTGTCATCCCCTGTAACCCCTTGTAATTTCCTCTAATCCCTTGAAACCCTCTTCACCCCCTGTCACCCCTTTAAACTCCCTGTCACCCCTTGTAACCCCTTGTAACCCCCTGTCACCCTTCGTAACCCCCTGTCACCCCTTGTAACCTGCTGTCACTCCTTGTAACCCCCTGAAACCCCTTGTAACCCTCTGTCACCCCTTGTTAACCTCTGTAACCCCTTGTAACGCCCTGTAACCCTTTGTAGCCCCCTGTCACCCTTGTAACCTCCTGTCACCCTTTGTAACCTTTTGTAACCCCCTGTAACCCCTTCTAACCCCCTGTCACCCCTTGTAACCTTCTGTAACCCCTTATAAACCCCTGTAACCCCTTGTAACCCCCTGTCACACCTTGCAACCTTTTGTAACCCCCTGTCATCCCCTGTAACCCCCTTGTAACCCCTTGTAACCCCTTGTAACCCTTTGTAGCCCCCTGTCACCCTTGTAACCCCCTGTCACCCCTTGTAACCCCCTGTCATCCCCTGTAACCCCTTGTAATTTCCTCTAATCCCTTGAAACCCTCTTCACCCCCTGTCACCAGGGTTTTTGTTAAGATTTGAAGTCGCAGGGACAAATGTAGCAATAGCAGGGACGAAATATGGCGGTGGAGCCACCATCTTGGCACGCAGTACCAAGTTGGGGTAGGTGTGGGAGGGGGGTCGTCGCTACTCTACTGGGGGGGTTGGGGGCCACTCCCTAGAAAATTTTAGAATTTTTGAGGCCCCAGGGTGCATTTTGGGCCATACTACGGCAAACCATGGTGCAAAACAACACGTATAAACTGTAATGTTCCACATTGTTATTCGGTTTGGGTTTAACAACAGGGAATAAAATTATGAACATCTATAAGCGCAGCCTTAAAAAATAGCCGGGACGAAAATTGAAATAGCCAAGTAAAAGTCCTGGTGTCCCGGGTCTAACAAAAACCCTGCTGTCACCCCTTTAAACTCCCTGTAACCCCTTGTAACCCCTTGTAACCCCTTGTAACCCCCTGTCACCCTTCGTAACCCCCTGTCACCCCTTGTAACCTGCTGTCACTCCTTGTAACCCCCTGAAACCCCTTGTAACCCTCTGTCACCCCTTGTTAACCTCTGTAACCCCTTGTAACGCCCTGTAACCCTTTGTAGCCCCCTGTCACCCTTGTAACCTCCTGTCACCCTTTGTAACCTTTTGTAGCCCCCTGTAACCCCTTGTAACCCCCTGTCACCCCTTGTAACCTTCTGTAACCCCTTATAATCCCCTGTAACCCCTTGTAACCCCCTGTCACCCCTTGCAACCTTTTGTAACCCCCTGTCATCCCCTGTAACCCCCTTGTCACCCCTTGTAACCCCTTGTAACCCTTCGTTACCCCCTGTCACCCCTTGTAACCTCCTGTCACCCCTTGTAACCCTCTGTCACCCCTTGTAACCCTTGTAACCCCCTGTCACCCTTTGTAACCTTTTGTAACCCCCTGTAACCCCTTGTAACCCCCTGTCACCCCCTGTCACCCCTTGTAACCCCCTGTCACCCCTTGTAACCTTCTGTAACCCCTTGTAACCCCTCTGATCCCTTCTAACCTTTTTCACCCCCTGCCACCCCGTTTAACTCCCTGTCACCCCTTGTAACCCCCTGTCACCCCTTGTAACCCCCTGTCACCCCTTGTAACCCCCTGTAACCTCTTGTAACCCCCTGTCACCCCTTGTAACCTCCTGTCACCCCTTTTAACCCCCTGTCACCCCTTGTAACCCCCTGTAACCTCTTGTAACCCCCTGTCACCCCTTGTAACCTCCTGTCACCCCTTTTAACCCCCTGTCACCCCTTGTAACCCCCTGTAACCCCTTGTAACCCTCTGTCACCCCTTGTAACCCCCTGTAACCCTTTGTAGCTCCCTGTCACCCGTTGTAACGCCCTGACACTCTTTATAACCTCCTGTAACCCCTTGTAACCTTCTGTTGCCCTTGTAACCTGTCACCCCTTGTAACCTTCTGTTGCCCTTGTAACCTCCTGTCACCCCTTGTAACCCGTTGTAATCCCTTGTAACCCCTTGTAATCCCTTGTAACCCCCTGTTACCCCTTGTAACCCCCCGTAACATCTTGTAACCTACTGTAATTCTTGTAACCTCCTGTCACCCCTTGTAACCTTTTGTAACCCCTTGTGACCCCCTGTCACCCCTTTTAACTCCCTGTCACCCCTTGTAACCTTTTGTAACCCCCTGTCGCCTCTTGTAACCCCCTGTAACCGTTCGAAAGCCCCTGTCACCCCTTGTAACCCCATGTAACTTCTTGTAACCTCCTGTCACCCCTTGTAACCTCCGGTCACTCATTCTAACCCCCTGTAACCTCTTGTAACCCTCGGTCACCCCTTGTAACCCTCTGTAACCTCTTGTAACCCCCTGTAACCCTTTTTTGCCCCGTCACCCCTTGTAACCCCCTGACACTCCTTGTAACCTCCTATAACCCTTTGTAACCCCCTGTCACACCTTCTAACCCCTTGTAATCCCCTGTAACCCCTTGTAATCCCCTGTCACCCCTTGTAACCCCCTGTAACCTCATGTAACCTTCTGTAACCCTTGTAACCTCCCGTCACCCCTTGTAACCTTTTGTATCCCCTTGTAACCCCCTGTAACCCCTTGTAACCTTCTGTCACCCCTTGTAACCCCCTGTAACCCTTTGTAGCCCCCTGTCACCCCTTGTAAGCCCCTGACACTCCTTGTAACCTTCTGTAACCCCTTGTAACCTTCTGTTGCCCTTGTAACCTCCTGTGACCCCTTGTAACCTTCTGTTGCCCTTGTAACCTCCTATCACCCCTTGCAACCCCTTGTAATCCCCTGTAATCCCTTGTAACCCCTTGTAACCCCCCGTAACATCTTGTAACCTACTGTAATCCTTGTAACCCCCTGTCACCCCTTGTAACCTTTTGTAACCCCCTGTAACCCCTTGTGACCCCCTGTAACCTCTTGTAACCTACTGTAATCCTTGTAACCCCCTGTCACCCCTTGTAACCTTTTGTAACCCCCTGTCACCCCTTGTAACCCCCTGTCACCCCTTGTAACCTTTTGTAACCCCCTGTCGCCTCTTGTAACCCCCTGTAACCGTTCGAAAGCCCCTGTCACCCCTTGTAACCCCCTGTAACTTCTTATAACCTCCTGTCACCCCTTGTAACCTCCGGTCACTCCTTCTAACCCCCTCTAACCTCTTGTAACCCTCGGTTACCCCTTGTAACCCTCTGTAACCCCTTGTAACGCCCTGTAACCCTTTTTTGCCCCCTGTCTCCCTTGTCACCCCCTGACACTCCTTGTAACCTCCTATAACCCCTTATAACCCCCTGTCACACCTTGTAACCCCTTGTAATCCCCTGTAACCCCTTGTAATCCCCTGTCACCCCTTGTAACCCCCTGTAACCTCTTGTAACCTTCTATAACCCTTGTAACCTCCTGTCACCCCTTGTAACCTTTTGTAACCCCTTGTAACCCCCTGTCACCCCTTGTAACCCCCTATAACTCCATGTAACCCCTTGCCATCCGCTGTCACCCCTTGTAACCCTCTGTGACCCCTTTTAATCCCCTGTTGCCCATTCTAATTTCTTCTAACCCCCTGTATTCCTATGTAATAGATCGTGAAATTGAATTGTAAAAAACAATTTTCCGCAGTTCATATAGCAAAGAAGCCTTTCTGGACGATGAAAACGTCAGTTTCAAAAAACCACAAAATTGGCATTTTTCCAAATGGGTTAGTCCATGGTTTTGGTGAAAAATTTGAAATCTTGTTAACGTTTCGTTTTATACATAATACACCGAGAAAAAGTATTTGGTTACGTTCTCGCTACAAAAGAAGCCTTTTTAGACAATACAAACATCGATTTAAAAAGAACGCAACACTGTTATTTTTCCAAAGGCGATACTCCATGATGTTGCTTAAAAACTTGAAGTTTTTTCTGATTTTGTGTTTATCGAAAATAGATCGAGAAAAAGTGTTTGCTGACGTTCTAGTTAAAAAAAGAAGCCTTGAAAGACTACCAGAATATCTGTTTATTAAAAACGCAAAATTAGAGTTTTTGCAAAGGGGTTAGTTCATCGTTTTGGTAAAGAATTTGAGATTTCTTCAACTTTCATTTTTATGCAAAATAGACCAAGAAAAAGTATTTGGCAACGTTCTAGTTAGAAAAAAGTTCCTGACATCCTTTGTAACCCCCTTTCACCCCTTGTAACCCCCTGCTACCCTTTGTAACCCCCTGTAACCTCTTGTAACCCCCTGTAACCCTTTTTAATCTCCTGTATTAACCCTTTTGTAACCCCCTGTCACCCCCTGTAACCCTTTGTAACCCCCTGTCACCCCATGTCACCCCTTGTAACCCCCTGTCACCCCTTGTAACCCCCTCTCACCCCTTGTAACCCCCTGTCATCCCCTGTAACCCCTTGTAATTTCCTCTAATCCCTTGTAACCCTCTTCACGCCCTGTCTCCCCTTTAAACTCCCTGTCACCCCTTGTAACCCCTTGTAACCCCCTGTCACCCCTTGTAACCCCCTGTCACCCTTCGTAACCCCCTGTCACCCCTTGTAACCTCCTGTCACTCCTTGTAACCCCCTGAAACCCCTTGTAACCCTCTGTCACCCCTTGTTACCCTCTGTAACCCCTTGTAACGCCCTGTAACCCTTTGTAGCCCCCTGTCACCCTTGTAACCTCCTGTCACCCTTTGTAACCTTTTGGAACCCCCTGTAACCCCTTCTAACCCCCTGTCACCCTTTGTAACCTTCTGTAACCCCTTGTAATCCCCTGTAACCCCTTGTAACCCCCTGTCACCCCTTGTAACCTTTTGTAACCCCCTGTCATCCCCTGTAACCCCCTTGTAACCCCTTGTAACCCCTGTAACCCTTTGTAGCCCCCTGTCACCCCTTGTAACCCCTTGTAACCCTCTGTCACCCCTTGTAACCCTTGTAACCCCCTGTCAACCTTTGTAGCCTTTTGTAACCCCCTGTAACCCCTTGTAACCCCCTGTCACCCCCTGTCACCCCTTGTAACCTTTTGTAACCCCTTGTAACCCCCTGTAACCCCTTGTAACCTTCTGTCACCCCTTGTAACCCCCTGTAACCCTTTGTAGCCCCCTTTCACCCCTTGTAAGCCCCTGACACTCCTTGTAACCTTCTGTAACCCCTTGTAACCTTCTGTTGCCCTTGTAACCTCCTGTCACCCCTTGTAACCTTCTGTTGCCCTTGTAACCTCCTGTCACCCCTTGTAACCCGTTGTAATCCCCTGTAATCCCTTGTAACCCCCTGTCACCCCTTGTAACCCCTCGTAACATCTTGTAACCTACTGTAATCCTTGTAACCCCCTGTCACCCCTTGTAACCTTTTGTAACCTCCTGTAACCCCTTGTGACCCCCTGGCACCCCTTTTAACTCCCTGTCACCCCTTGTAACCCACTGTCACCCCTTGTAACCTTTTGTAACCCCCTGTCGCCTCTTGTAACCACCTGTAACCGTTCGGAAGCCCGTCACCCCTTGTAACCCCCTGTAACTTCTTGTAACCTCCTGTCACCCCTTGTAACCTCCTGTCACCCCTTGTAACCTCCGGTCACTCCTTCTAACCCCCTGTAACCTCTTGTAACCCTCGGTCACCCCTTGTAACCCTCTCTAACCCCTTGTAACCCCCTGTAACCCTTTTTAGCCCCCTGTCACCCCTTGTAACCCCCTGACACTCCTTCTAACCTCCTATAACCCCTTGTAACCCCCTGTCACACCTTGTAACCCCTTGTAATCCCCTGTCACCCCTTGTAACCCCCTGTAACCTCATGTAACCTTCTGTAACCTTTGTAACCTCCTGTCACCCCTTGTAACCTTTTGTAACCCTTGTAACCCCCTGTAACCCCTTGTAACCTTCTGTCACCCCTTGTAACCCCCTGTAACCCTTTGTAGCCCCCTGTCACCCCTTGTAAGCCCCTGACACTCCTTGTAACCTTCTGTAACCCCTTGTAACCTTCTGTTGCCCTTGTAACCTCCTGTCATCCCTTGTAACCTTCTGTTGCCCTTGTAACCTCCTGTCACCCCTTGTAACCTTCTGTTGCCCTTGTAACCTCCTGTCACCCCTTGTAACCCCTTGTAATCCCCTGTAATCCCTTGTAACCCCCTGTCACTCCTTGTAACCTCCTATAACCCCTTGTAACCCCCTGTCACACCTTGTAACCCTTTGTAACCCCGTAACATCTTGTAACCTAGTGTAATCCTTGTAACCCCCCTTTCACCCCTTGTAACCTTTTGTAACCCCTGGTGACCCCCTGGCACCCCTTTTAACTCCCTGTCACCCCTTGTAACCTTTTGTAACCCCCTGTCGTCTCTTGTAACCCCCTGTAACCGTTCGGAAGCCCCTGTCACCCCTTGTAACCCCCTGTAACTTCTTGTAACCTCCTGTCACCCCTTGTAACCTCCGGTCACCCCTTCTAATCCCCTGTAACCTCTTGTCACCCTGGGTCACCCCTTGTAACCCTCTGTAACCCCTTGTAACCCCCTGTAACCCTTTTTTGCCTCCTGTCTCCCTTGTAACCCCCTGACACTCCTTGTAACCTCCTATAACCCCTTGTAACCCCCTGTCACACCTTGTAACCCTTTGTAATCCCCTGTAACTCCTTGTAATCCCCTGTCACCCCTTGTAACCCCCTGTAACCTCATGTAACCTTCTGTAACCCTTGTAACCTCCATTCACCCCTTGTAACCTTTTGTAACCCCTTGTAACCCCCTGTAACCCCTTGTAACCTTCTGTCACCCCTTGTAAGCCCCTGACACTCCTTGTAACCTTCTGTAACCCCTTGTAACCTTCTGTTGCCCTTGTAACCTCCTGTCACCCCTTGTAACCTTCTGTTGCCCTTGTAACCTCCTGTCACCCCTTGCAACCCCTTGTAATCCCCTGTAATCCCTTGTAACCCTCTGTCACCCCTTGTAACCCCCTGACACTCCTTGTAACCTCTATAACCCCTTGTAACCCCCTGTCGCACCTTGTAACCCCTTGTAATCCCTTGTAACCCCTTGTAATTTCCTGTCACCCCTTGTAACCTTTTGTAACCCCTTGTAACCCCCTGTAACCTCTTGTAATGCCCTGTCACCCCTTGCAAGCTCCTGTAACCCCTTGTAACCTTCTGTAACTCATTGTAACCCCTTGTCACCCCCTGTAACCCCTTGTAACCCCCTATAACTCCCCCCTTTGCCATCCGCTGTCACCCCTTGTAACCCCCTGTGACCCCTTTTTTTTAATCCCCTGTCGCCCATTCTAATTTCTTCTAACCCCCTGTATTCCTATGTAATAGATCGTGAAATTAAATTGTAAAAAACAATTTTCCGCAGTTCATATAGCAAAGAAGCCTTTCTGGACGATGAAAACGTCAGTTCAAAAACCCACAAAATTGGCATTTTTCCAAATGGGTTAGTCCATGGTTTTGGTGAAAAATTTGAAATTTTGTTAACGTTTCATTTTATACATAATATTCCGAGAAAAAGTATTTGGTTACGTTCTCGCTACAAAAGAAGCCTTTTTAGACAATACAAACATCGATTTAAAAAGAACGCAAAACTGTTATTTTTCCAAAGGTGATACTCCATGATGTTGCTTAAAAACTTGAAGTTTTTTCTGATTTTGTGTTTATCGAAAATAGATCGAGAAAAAGTGTTTGCTGACGTTCTAGTTAAAAAAAGAAGCCTTGAAAGACTACCAGAATATCTGTTTATTAAAAACGCAAAATTAGAATTTTTGCAATGGGGTTAGTTCATCGTTTTGGTAAAGAATTTGAGATTTCTTCAACTTTCATTTTTATGCAAAATAGATCAAGAAAAAGTATTTGGGAATGTTCTAGTTAGAAAAAAGTTCCTGACATCCTTTGTAACCCCCTTTCACCCCTTGTAACCCCCTGCTACCCTTTGTAACCCCCTGTAACCTCTTGTAACCCCCTGTAACCCTTTTTAATCTCCTGTATTAACCCTTTTGTAACCCCCTGTCACCCCCTGTAACCCTTTGTAACCCCCTGTCACCCCATGTCACCCCTTGTAACCCCCTGTCACCCTTTGTAACCCCCCGTCACCCTATGTCACCCCTTTTATCCCTATGTGAAAGGGGGTAGATAGTATTAAAAACTCCGTTTTTACCAAATTTACATCGAGATATCACATTAATAGGACACAATAGGGCCATTTATACGAGGAAAAATAAGACGCGTCTTAAATAAGACGCGAACTGTACCATTTATACGAGCATGTCTTATCTAATAAGACGCGTCTTAGCTAAGCCGCGTCTTATTTTAGACGAAATGTGCCGTTTATAGGGAAAGTTTGCGTCTTATTTAAGACGCGTCCTATGTAAGACGCGTCTTATTTTTCCTCGTATAAATGGCCCTAATGTGATAAAGGAACGTTTAAATGAAAATCAAAGTGAGTAAGCAGTCTAAGCACAAGTTAAACATCCACTATCGCGGTTCTCTGTGAGGAAGTCGAACTCAGCAACACACGTACTGCTTACGTTATGCACATTCCCAACACATTGAATCTCACCTCGGCAAGACACAACCGCAAGCAAAAATTCCAATAGCGTTTCTCTTCAGTCAACTTCATTTTAATAATGTTACTTCACATGCTCTTTTTTGTGGCGGCCATCTTGTTATGCGCAGTGCAAAACCAGGGAATCACCTTAACTTTGTTTCTAATTCCTCCACCTTTGCAGTAAGGTCTTTCTTTAAACACATGTACATATGTGCTCAATGTCGGTCTGAATAATTTTCGTTAGCACTTAAATTTTTTGCCACTTTTTGGATATGTGAGAATAAATTAGGCTGATGGTATTAATAACGTTTTCTTTGTCAGATAACTGAGCTTCTCTCAGAAGTACAACCAAAAAAGAGCAGAAACAAAGCTCTTGATGAAGTTTTGCATGAACTGAATGCACTCTTGTTGTCTTTACCAGATGGCAAAAAGGAACATGAGGTACAGATGAACACGTACATGTACATATGAAATTATGCTGTCTTTATAGTTATATATTTTTTTAATGTGTTTGTACACCAGCTAATATGTGTTTATTTTCTGGCCAAAATTTGTTACTTTTTTCTCCCTTTGATCGGATTCTATCTTTTATTAATTTATTTACCTCTCAGACTCTTTACGACTTTGTAACAATAATCATTAATTATTAGTATAATGAATACTATATATAAGTACAATAATATTATTATACTGCTAGGTCATGGTTTTCTTCAAGGTTTTTTGAAACCTTAAAAGTAGATGGAGGTTTTTGTGAAGTACACTGATCCAAATCACCCACCTTTGGGCATCTCTGGAGTAGGCCCATTTTTGCGTGAGCAATAAGTGTCCAAAACATTCATTTTTTCTTGTCATATTTAAAGAACAGGAAAACCGTTTCTGGCGAGCACTTCCAAAACTTTTTTCAGTCACCAGATGCCACCTGTACCAAACAGTTAATTTCAAACCCTGCTTTCAATAATAATTGTCTCTTAACCCTATTACTAGCTGTATTCATTATGACTGTAATGATTATCATGCAAAATGAGGGCTAGGAGACAAATATTTTTAAAACTGAGAAGGCAAACAGGATCGAACCATTTTTTAACCTCAATTTAATGTTGACATTCAGCATTCATCTCAAGGAGTGTTAATCTAGGCAGTCTGATCAATTGACGTTACAGAAGTAGCAGTGCTTAACATACTCTGTTAGTTAATGTAGTGGTTTTCTTTTTATGATGTAGGTATCAGATCATTCATGGCTACCAAAAGGAGCCAAATTTCCCCTTCCATCACCTCCTGCTCCAGTGAAAGGAAAATTTCGTTTTCAGAGACCTGCCAGTGTTAAAGTTGTAGGAAGTTATCTTCTTGGCACTGTAACAAAACCAGATTTGAATGTGGATATTGCAGTTCAAATGCCAAAGGTAATTAAGGAGATTTGAGAATTTTACAGGAAAATCTATCCCCATTGTTTACAAGATCCTTTGTTTTTGGTTTATGGGTCTCATCTTCACTTACATGTAAAGGGCCAGTTGGTTGTTCAAATTTTGGTGTTTGAGGATGTGGCTAAGGAAAATTAAAGCTTTGCCATGTAAGCAGGCTTTCTTATTAGTCAAGCTGGCTTTTTTACTCAACTGCACCCTCCAAATTGCCACATATCTTTGTCTTCCATGAGCCATTAGTAAGATGTTTTTCAGCAGGTAAAAATTAGCCCACAGCCAGCTCTAAGCAACATGACTGTCTGTTTTTGGAAAACATGTTCCCTACCCCTTGTATTTTTTACCCTTTCAGCTAATGGTGCATGCTAAACATATGCTGTAACATGCTTAATGTTGTTACAAAAGTTAATGGTATTTTTAACACCACCACTCACTTTGTTATTATTAAACAATTAATGTTGTTACTTTAAAGTTAATGGTGTGTTTACACACCACCACACCACAGTCACTTTGTTATTTTATTAATAACAATTATTAAACTCATCGCCAATCAAGATGAGTTTGGGAACTGGTGCCTTAAAGGTTAAATGGGCCTCAGCCATAGCCAGGAGGTATCCATTATTATTATTAATTATTAACAATAATTATAATTTATTGCCTATTATTTATTGCTCTTCACCTCAGGAGTGTTTCCAGCCAAAGGATTACCTGAACTTAAGATACCATCACAAACGAGCTCTTTACCTGTCAACCATAGCATCACATCTGAAAAGGAGCTCTTTGTTTGAGAGTGTTAAGTTTAGTCACATGAATGCAGAGGTGTTGAGACCAATCCTGCTTCTTAAACCCAAAGGTGAAACATTTATTAAAAATATTTAGTTTGCCCACCAGCTAAAATCAACCCCAGCTAGTGATTACAAGTTGGTCTCAAAGTTATTCATTGTAGAGCTAGTAATGAAATTAATAGAGTCAGGACAAATGAAAAATTTATATCATTCAGCATATTTGTGCTAACTCATCACAATTTTGGTTTTGTATGAACAGCTGTATAACAGGTTTTTTGACAAAATTTTAGGAGCATTTCATAGCTCCTGTACAGGTAGTCTAATGACTTGCTTAAATGCTGAGGCTGGTGTATTCTTCCTTCACATTTAGTGTTAGACTTGAATTTTGAGAAAAATGCATGCTAGTTCTTGTAAAGTCTTACAAAATTAATGTAGTCTTTCATTACCATTCAATACCCTCACAATGAGAAGATAACATGTTGAGCCTTAGTTAGTGAAAATCTTTCAAGGGTATACTATTCACACTATGCTAAATCATGAAAAGGCAATTATGGTATTTACTGATGTGCATATTATTGTGAGTGATATTCTGGTGGCTTGTACTTGACTGGTCAGTGATATGATAAAGAGAAAAACAATAATTGCAAATGCATCTACCTCTGTCACTATTGAGCCCTTAGGCTGATACCCACATCTTAATTATTTAGTGTGATTACCTGACTTCTCTCACAGGAAAAGCAGGCAAGCAGTTTATTATCAAATTGCACTTGTGTTTATCTGATGGCACATTCAAGCCTCACAGATTTGCCCCAAACAAGAATAACATCAGACAACACTGGTTCAAAGGTGAAGAGGGCACAGCAGATGATGGTGTTGGTAAGATGCTCTTAAAGTAAAACCAGTTTACGCTGCCCTGAATATCCTATGCATCTCACTAACAAACTATAAAACTTTTATCCATCAACATTAAATTGGTAGTCAAGGCTATTGCAAAATCCCACATCATCAACTTGTCTACAGAGATCAAGACTTGATCATTGTGTACAAGTTACATCATTGTTTTTGTAAGAAATGCATGCACAGGGATGAACATGTACTGGTCTAGCAGCTCTTGTAAGTAAGGATTCACACAAATCATTGTTTTTTAATACCTTTCCAGGTGAAATTATTTTCATTTGTCAGCTTAAGGTATTTCATGGGAAACCACAAATTGCAATAATTATTTGTGGTTGGGCGTTACTTTCTAGTTTCAAGCTGCAGTGGTTTGATTTATTTTAGCAAAGGCATTCATTTTTGTCCCACCATGTTGTTTTTGTCAGGTCAAAGTGCCTCACTTTTCTTGCCATTAATCTAATCTAACTAGCACATCACAGGTGGCTATAGCAACCTATTGCCTTGTGTGACCAGTGAGGGCTCTACCATTTTTGTTGGCAAAAAATTTTGCCATAAAGTGTTTACTGCTGGAGGCCCTTTCTGCCATCCAAACATGAACCCTAAACTGCAAATGCTATGGCAAAAACCTGTCTATGGCACATCCTGAGGTTTGCCATTATCCGTTAACCATGAGAACGCTGATGCTAAAGGGCTCTCCTGGTAAAGCTGTCAGGGATTAACATGTACAGCGCTGTACCCCTTTGGGTAATGGTCAGTGTGGTATTGATTTTCACCTTTGTCATGATCAGTTTTCCTCTCGTACAAACTAAGAGAATTTCAATTTTTATTCTTTCAGTGAACCCTCCTCCTGTCTTGTTTTGTATTTCAGACACAGGTATACCAACCCCACATTACAATGCATCAGTGTTGTCAGACATGTTTTATGAGCAACACCTTCATTATTTGTATGACTGCCTGGTAGACTTCCCTGGAATGAAAGATGCTGTGGCACTTCTTAAAGTTTGGCTTCACCAGAGAGAATTTGATCAGGTTTGTTTCATAAAAGTACATACTTATTGTCAAGGAGGTAATCCATACAACAAGTTACCCTGCTGGCAGAGTCGCTTCAATCTTTCCCAAAGAAGTCGGGAAAGAGGAAGGCGACCTTCCTTTTTCCCGACTTATCTAGGAAAGATCGAAGCGACTCTGCTAGCAGGGTAACAACAAGTAGGATGTGTAAGTAAATTTTTTAGTCTCCTGAATTTTTATGACTGATACATTGAAGAAATCATTATTTCATTTATACAGGGACTTGGTTGCTGTGGAGGGTTTTTATCTTCTATGATGATCGCATATCTACTGTCAACAAGGAAAGTTAATAAACACATGAGCTCATATCAGATCCTTAGAGTTTTACTTCATTTCCTTGGTAAGTAATCAACACCAAGGCTGTCTTGTACGAAGAACTGTAGAGGGTGCCCAAAGCTTTGAACTCACAGTTTATGACATTATGCAGCATATGCATTTTACTATGTTAAGACTAGAGATTTCCTAGCTAGCTGCCCATGGATAATAGTACACCAAAGGCCACCAGGTGCCCAATGCTAGAGTACTGAGCCCTGGAAACACACTTCACCATTTTCACATTGCCCATAATACAACATATTTATGCTACAGGTCAAAATTCAATTCACGTCAAAATTTTTTAACCTTGGTTGATTCTCTATTCCTTTGTCCCCTTTAGCTAGCCCTAATATTATTATTCATGAATTAGGGCTAGGAAACAAAGGAAATTGAGTTTCAACCTTTGTTAAAAAATTTTAACCTGAATATAATATTATTTTGACCTGTAACATTTACCTCCCATCTCCCACCTCCACCCCCGCCCAAAAAAATGGATAACCATTGTTTCAAATTTCTCCTGTTTATTACAGTCATCCCAAGAGAAAATGAAGACAATGGTTATGTAAATAAGTGGGGGACAGGGTTACTAGGTTTATTATGGGCAATTTGAAAATTGTAAATAAATAGTTTGCATGTCAGGTAGTTTCCTTTTACTCAACTCCTTACTCGATACTTATCTGTGCGAGTACTTTTCAAGATGTTAAGTCTCGATTACTTTTTCCTTGTGTTCACTATTGAATGCACTACATGTAGGCTCAACTGACTGGACCAAAGAGGGAATCATCATGAGCAGAGAAAAAAATGAAGATAGTAATTTGGTAAAATGATTGTTGGTTTATTTTAGTTTTAACTTTCTTTTTCACCCCAACTCTGCCTACACATGTCATGACCTACAATCTAAGAGTCACGATCCACACAAAAAAACAGGTCTGTTTAATTAATATGCGTCAAAACATCTCTTATGCTCTGGTAGAAATGCATGATTATAAACTCACCCTATTAAAAGTTGTGAATCATTTATTGGAATGCATCTCTAACTTGACCTATTCTACTCAATCTCATTGGCCCATTTGGTCCTAAGAATTTTACCCAAAGGTAACTTTTGAGGCAAGTCGAGCCATTTTCTGGTCACTGTCTGGCCAAGAGCCAATTCTGCCAAAAATGCCATTTATGGGACAAGCACTTTGCGCCCTTCTGTTCCAGATGTAAACGTTAGCTCACGAGCTCAGTTCAGTTCATGAGACATGGCTGTGTGTAATTTTTTCAACCCACTTGTTGTTGTCAGGATATCAGCTGAAACAGTGTATGTCAAACTTGACCTATTACATGTACATAAGTATACTGTCAGCACATGAAAGTTTTGTGATACATGTTTATGTAATTGCAGCCATCCATGGAAGATTTTGATTCTGCCTATGATGTAGTATTTATTGATCCATCTGGTTATCTTAACTTGTGCGCTGCGATGTCTGCAGCACAGTACCAAAGAGTAAGTACCTGTTGGTGTTGGCATCTGAAAAGGCAGTCAAATTTATTATTGTTTACATGAAAAACTGCATCCTGAAATTAGTAAGTTATCTGAAAATACAATGAGGACTCAGAAAATAAATTTTGTACAGGGACAGGCCATGCCTTGGTTGGTTTATTTGCTTGTTCTTATTCTGTTACTTTTTATGCAACAAGGTTGTTAATTTTGGTCAAAAAGTGTTTATGACACTTAAACGAAGAAATGAAATTTTCAGATATTAGACAGCTTTATGCTGTTTATGTTCATTTCATTGCCTTTTTAGACAAGTTATTGGTAGAACAGGCTTTGGAAAAGGCTTTTTTAATGGATTTTTTTTGGACAAAAATTTAATGAGTTGTCACATATTAATCATTTTTATTCTTTGTAATAGTGGACCTTCCCTCTGGTCTTTTAAAACCCCAAGCGAAATTAATCAGAACAGAATTCGAAATTTAAAATACTTGGTAACAACTGAAAGGAAAGGAGGAATAAAGGTGTGTGAGAACAATGGACATGTGCCCCTTTACCTCCCCCTTCCATGTCCCTCACGAATGCCTGCCACATACACATGGGGTTAGAGAAAGTACTAGTTTTGAATGGTCAGTAGAAAGAACAAATAACTATTACACGGCCAATCTCGGAACCTCAGAATGTTAAGCAATTGTAAAAATGCTTTCTTTCCAGCTTTGTCGTATCATTTATACCGGTATATTTATTTGCAGTTACAACATGAAGCCAGGTTGTCAATGGAGTTTTTGGACAACAGGTTTCTGGATGGCTTTGAAGTTCTTTTCATGAAACCTGTCCCATTCACACAAACCTTTGATCAATTTTTGTTGTAAGTTTGTACATTTTAACATCACAAAAGCATTGTTTGATTTTATCTTTTACCAAGCTCTGACCAACCTGGTTCCCAGTGTCCTCTCCTTCTCATCTCACCCTGGAAGCCGAGTAGTAGAGGGCCCTGGGAGTGAGGTTGAGCTCTGACCATTGTTGTCATTGCAAATTTCCAGGTTTAAGTGTGTAAATCTTGCACAAAGCTGGTGTTTTATGATGTCAGAGAGTTCTGTTGGTTGCAATTGTATATGGGGGAGTTATTTGCAGAGTAAAATCACTTTTTCACATCCAAATCCTTTTTAAATGGCTCTCGATGTGTGATTTTTTGTGTGTGACCTGTTTTGTAGAATTCCAAATATCAGTGATCTCGAGGCCATTTGTGAAAGAAATGACCTTATGACCCACTTGATGGATCATCCTGGAGATTGGACCCCAGTTATTGCTGATTGGCTGCTTCACCTTGTCACCAGAGGTCTGGGAAAGCGAGTTGAAATTCTGTGTTATAAGCCACAAACGTCTTACCAGGTAGCTCAAAATACATCCCTATCAGTACTGATTGTAACTTTCATTACCAAATACTCCGAATTCTGTGGAGAGTTTTAGGTGAATTTCAGCTCTACGTATAACCATAGTCATCATATTGATTTCCAACCTTCACCGCTTAGAACACCAGATTTGTCAGTGCTGTGTACTTATGGAACACTGTCACGAAGAATGAAAAGCCCAATATGAAAACAATGCTACAAATGTACTTGTTGTTTAACAAGTACCTGAAAGTGTAATTAAACTATTTAAACTATTCATTTATTTATTTTCTTTCACCATAAAAAAAATAAGGAGAAGGAAAGAAAGTGGAAAAAGTTACGTAAAAGTAACCTCATGCTGTCACGGATAACTGCAAATAGTACTTTTCTGCTTTCCTTTCAATGATTCACCTGGAAACTGTTCCTTTGGTGTTGCAGCTTCCGCTGCTACAAGAGAAAAAATACTCGGTCATAATTTTAACAAACCTTATACTGAGAATTCCCTTGACAATGCAGTTGTAAGTGTTTTAAACGGTGCGTCTTTTGCTGTATGTAACCAAATTATTTATTTTTCATGCTACACAGTGGCCTGTAAATAAATCCCCGCCCTCCACAAGCCAGTCCAGTCTCACGCTGGGTTTGATGCTTAACTCTGATCATGCGCAATCCATCCTTGACACCGGGCCGCAAGCTGACAGTGTAGAGGTTAGTGGGTTTTGTTTGTGTGTTGTTTGGTTTGTTTGCTGCTGAATGATATCGCTTCCTTTGGTAATTATTCCACATGATATCGAAGTAGTTGAACAGTGAAGAAAAATAAAATCATTTTGTAGTGGGGTCTTTTATCCCCATCTGCCGTGTAGATGATTGCTCATTTGAACCAGCATTCTCAAGATTTTTGTTTGTTTTTCTTGAGTGGAAAACTACTTTTTCACAAGACCGTCGAACAACGTCAACCTGACTTCCTTCTGATTAAAATCGTACTTTTTCCGCTTTTTATTTTTCTATTCGTTCATTCTTTTCCTAGGCGAAGTCTTTCCGTGCGTTTTGGGGCGAGAAGTCAGATTTGCGGCGATTTCAGGACGGTTCGATTCTCGAGGCTGTTGTGTGGCCTTGTAACAGTGTTGCAGAAAGAAGAGTCATCTGTGAAAGGATTATTAAGCATCTTCTACACAGGTGAGGTCTTACAGCTATGTTGAAGTCGTAGCAATTACAAAGACCAGCCGGAAGTCAGGCCGCATTGCCTTTTATGGCACGCTTTAATACTCTTCGTAACTCTCCGTGTCAGGCACATTGACATATTTCTATGTTGAAGGTTTTTGTTATCTAAAAGGTATCGCACCCGGCTTGACATAATTGTCAGAACATGTCTTTAGAAAATCAGTGGTATTGGCCAAAAAGCCTTTATTTTTTCGCTTATGTAGTGAACTTTGAACGACAGGAAGTACTGGAAGGTTTTCTAAGACACACTCTCACGGTCTGATGTTTGGTTTTTGACCTGTAACTGAATCCATGAAAAGACTAGCACAATCAAAACCCGCTTTACGGACACCCACTTAATACGGACACCTCATTATTACGGACAGTTTGCTTTGTCCCTGGGGAAAGAAAGCCCAACTCCCTTAATACGGACACCTCATTATTACGGACAGTTTGCTTTGTCCCTGGGAACCCTTACATTTTCTCTAAATTCAACCCACTTAAGACACCTCATTATTAAGAGAAAACCCTTACAGTTTTCCCTAAATTCAATCCGCTTAATACGGACACCTCATTATTACGGACAGTTTGCTGTCCCTGGGGAAAGAAATCCCGTATATTTTCTCTAAATACGGACACCCCGTTAATACGGACACTTTCTATGGCCCCTTCAGTGTCTGTATTATGGAGTTTGACTTTACCATCATCCTTATACGCTTCTTGTCACATTTCTCACTTTGGAATTAACCTTAACTTATATAATAATAATAATAATAATAATAATAATAATAATAATAATAACTTTATTAATCTCCTCAAAAAGGCTTTTCAGCTTAATTTACAATGCCAAATATCTAAAACTTAGTTTTCCAAAAATACCCTTAAAAAATGCTGTTTTATTTTAACTTTAAATACATCTAAATTAGTGATAGACTGAAACTCGTCTGGGAGACTATTCCACAGCCTTTGGCCTCTGAAGGTAAACGCGCGCTGACCTGCAGCCGTCCTACAGAGTGGTATATGTAGGCAGTCCCTATTCCTAGTGTTGCAGTTGTGCACTTTCGATCTGGTTTTAAACTTTTTACGAAGATATGGAGGTGCAAGTCCATTTATGTCAAACCCAAAATAAAACTCATTTCCCAGAAATCTGCACATTTCGTTTTTTATTGCGGTTTATTTCGATAAGACACTTGATTTTCTTCTTTCTTGTGTTCACGTATTAACAAAAACCATTTCTTATTTCCAGACATGGCGGAGTTGATCCAAAATCAGTGACTTATGTAGCAAATCAGCTGGACTGTGTGCTACAGACCGCTGACTCCAGAAACAGTGGCACAGGTGATGAGCATGCTCAGAAGGTGATCCAGGTGTACGACGCATTATGTAAACAAATCCGTGCTTTGGATTTGCCACTCAATGTTAACACGCTTCAGGGAATAAGTCCTGTTTTCAGGGGTGCAGAGGTATGGCAAAAAAATTGTTCAATCTACAATGCAAGTATCAGATTTATTATTGTCCTGTAATACCATGATAAAGAGATTTGAGATTACTTCGTTTTAGCGTTGACAAAACGTCAAACGATTGAAACCCTAGGATGTAAATTGCCTAGTCCCTAAGCTTCATTATTCCGCGCGGGTCACGTGACCCGTTCGCCTCGGATACGTCACCGAAATGAATTGACCGATAGGGACTGGCAAAACGCCGTACAGTGACTAGGCAAGGATGTAATGTTATTGGTTTAGCGAGGGGGAAGGCAAATGCAGGCCGCGTTTGATTGGTTTAGTGGACGAAGACAACGTTCGCAAGCGTGTCCGACAGCTTTGCCCAAAGCCCTCCGCTACAATCGAACCTCCACTAACGCCCACCTCTCTACAATTGCCACTTCTTGGTGGACAGTCCATACATTGACTCAACGGCCACTTCCTTTTGTCTCCATGGTTGAGAGGTTCAACTGTAGTAAAAAGCGAAACAGTATTCAGTTCTCTGCGCACTTTCTTCTTCTCCCTGTCCAGTCTTCTAGTGGCATAATAGCGGGCCTATACGGGGGATAAGGCGCAAAGCGAACGGATTTCGAGCTTTATAGTTATGGTGTTTTTGACGTCAATCAAGCAGTTATCTAGTGTTTGGGGTATAGGGTGGCAACCTGCAAGACAACAGACTGGGATGACTGGGTATCCTGGCGGTAGAGCCTCCAGCGCAACCCGTCGAAGCCCCCGAGAGAAATTTTTTGCAGCCCCATAGCTCGCTCTGTCGGCTCCGCTGCAAAATACTCGCCGGATACCCCAAACAAATGAGCCTGCTTACAGGCTAGTAGTAACATAGAACGAGTATTTTAGTGGAAAAAGGTGTAATGCATTTTTCGGACCCCTTAGCTCCTTTAAGGGAACACTCCTGTCTCTGGCTACCTTGGCTGTGTTATCTGTGTTGCCGTTACTGATATAAAGTGTGCTACTAGATTTCATACTTGATGAATAATTGCACCTTTATCTGTTTTTGATTTAGGTAATTCCTCCAATTCCTTGCTTCAAAAACAGCAAAATAAAACCATTTGCAGACGAAAGAAAGTTAGCGGATAATGTACTTGTTCCCTCGGAAACTAAAAACAATTGTTGGTGTCCAGCGATAGAAGGTAATAAACGGCATTGCAGTGTGTTTTGGGCTTCCTTATCGTAACTACAGAACGTAACTGCTTTACAGTGAAAATTCTCGACAGTCTGCATATCTCATAACCTCCCATGCAGGCGTTTGTGGGGAGGGACGAAATAAGAGCTCCCCTAAAAACGCCTGCGTAAGAGGCTACCTATCTCACGAAACCCTTTTTGCTTGCGTGGTTGCACGGTAGCCACTTTTTGCCGACGCTGCCCGAGAGTGAGCGGCATTTTGGTCACGCGCCTTACGTCACTTGATAGCTAAATTGTACCGTCGGGTACAGCACTGCAGCGGGAACAGTTTGTCGTTAGTGACCGCCCGTGGTACTTGGAAAAAGTGCTCGTTAACAGGGCTCGAAAAAATTTGTATTCCAGCTTGTCCTCTGGGTAAGCAGCTCTAACATTTTGCTTGCCCGTGACTGCTTCTTGCTCGTCTTAGTTAATGATTTAGCTGACTCGCCTGGACCCTTCCCCATTGGCAGGTAAGCTTTAAAAGTTACTTGCCCAGCAAGAAAATCTTCTTGTCCCGGACTGCGAACAGGACTTTTTTCGAGATTTTTGTCGATTTTACAGGGTTATGAACCGAACGGTTACTGAGAGCAACTGGTCGCATGCAACAGTAGCCTAACGATTGTTGTGAATTGCTATGCCAAATCGTAGCTAACGGAAATGGCCTGATTGACCATTTTTAGGCCAATCACACAGTGTAGCAGTGCAAACTACTTTTCAGTGATACTCAGTGGATGAGTCACGTGACGCGACAAGAACAGCTGCGTGTCAGACTATGGATGAAATGGCTGGATGAAATGGAAAAACAGCCTGACCTTGAAATTGATTGAATACCTCTTATCACACTAGTATTTTATCACTTTGTGAGGTTAGTGAGGCGATGGTAAAGAAGCCTCTTAGTCTACAGACAAACACTTTTGTAATTGCTCTTCCTAACAGTTGTATTGCAGTTCGAGACAAGTGGTAAATGGCCTGATGATGTGACGGCTATCCAGCATATAAAAGCTGCCTTTCACATCAGACTAGCGGAATTACTCAAGACAGAGTACTCATTAGTAACTGCTGTATCACCTAAACACGTGGATGTGCATAAGGTTAGCAAGTAATGATTTTGATGATAATGATGATGATGACCATGACGATGATAGTTATGCGCGGTGCTGAACAATACATTTTCCATCTTTTGTGGCTGGGCTTGTTTTTCAAACAATATCCCAAACAAGGCTTCTGGAAAGGACATCCCTTGTAGCTAGTATGATTTCTTTTTGTTGATTCGTTTCCCTTTCTTCCTCTGATAAACCTGATCTAAGAAATCTTGTGATTATGTGCCGATTAATCCCCTTTCCCTTACCTGTCTTGTCGTCGTAAGCTACCACGAAGTTGTTGATTGTCGCTGGCTCCTGTTAATGTCGCACATTTGTGTATCCTTTTTTCTTTTTTTTTTTCTTCATAAGGATGGGTTTGTATTCAGAATAAAGATAATGCATTACAGAGAAATGGTGCTGCTGCAGCAATGTGCCGCCACTAAAGATGGTAAAGCAAAAGACGACAAGGCAGCTAGAGAACTTGAAAGAGAAATAATACATCTGCCAATCTTAACAAGTACACTCCATGGGTAGGTCAATAATCAGGTACTATTTTTCTGCAAATGAGTTCGTAATGAGATGAATGTCGAATTCTCTCCATGTCACTCCTTGTCTTGTAAATCATCCGAAAACAAGTTCTAATGTTAATTTATCATCACGTGTTTCCAGTACTGCTATTGGTCCAGTCAGGAAAATGGCAATCAAGTCTCTCCTTATGATTATACCCTTTTTTCGCGCTTGACACTAGTTACCTAGTTACATGTTCCCGCGCTTTTCATACGTACATATACAAAAAACCTTTATTTATACGCGATGAAAGTCAAAGCTTACAGCCTGTGTGATCTCACTTCTTGTTTCCCGCGTTTTTCAGCGGCCATTTCTTGCGGGTGGCATCTGTTGAAATAGACCTTGTAGGTTTTATTTACCCAATCCAGACCAGGTGAAGTTCTCAAGGGACTTTGCCTTCTGTCTTTCATTAGTTATGCACGAATATGCACGTGGATAGCGCGCCTTTTGTAATATACAGTTCCCAGGGGTAACATCACATGGTCTGAAATGGGAAAACAAAACATACAAGCTAAAAAGGTCTATTCACCATTTTCACATACACCATAATATATCTTGTTTACTCCTCCCCCCTAAATTTTGCGTAACCGTTGTTTCCAATTTCTCCTTGGTACAGTCGTCCCAAGAGAAATCGAAGACAACAGATATGCAAAATTTTAGGGGGTAAACAAGGTGCATTATGGCCTATGTGAATATGATGAATTCAGCAAAATTTTGAGTATGGTTAGTTTCATTTGATTGTTGTTTTGTTTTTCACGCTTTAGCAATTTTTGACAAGATTGTATTTCACTGACGCAGATTTTTAACCGTTTACCTTAACCTTTCTCTTTCAGTATAGAACAACAGTTCACTGCATTTAGTGGAACGGTGCGCTTGGCCAAGCGATGGGTTTCTGCTCAGCTGCTTTATGATCACGTGACTGAAGAATGTATCGAATTACTTGTGGCTTCCCTGTTTCTCTCTCCAGCCCCTTTCACTTCTCCAAGGTAACAAACCAAATTTAAAGAAACGGCAAATTTAGTGTGGTGATGTTTATTATGGCAGTTGGGTACTTTTTAAATAATCATCCAACAGAAAATAACACCCCCCTTTATTTTCTTGGTCAAGTTTGCGATTTTCGGTAAAACTGTCAAAAGTGAAACCAAAACCAATCGTGCCTCGCTTGCACCCCGATTTTCCCGCGCTTAGCGCCGTCTATTGGTATTTGGTTCGCGATTTGATTTATTCACCAGATGGTCTTTGGTTCTTGTCATTGGCTATTTGAATATAATTATGCCGACTTGGAATTAACAATAATGCTGTATTTGAAACCGCCTTCTCACACAATTTATGAAATCCTTTTTTGCAGGTCTCCTTTCGTTGGTTTTCTCCGATTCCTTCACCTTCTTTACTCTACTGACTGGCATTCCACTCCTGTCGTCCTGAATTTCAATAACGAGATATCCGGTAAGTAAATATTAGGTTTCTCTCATCAAATATATATTTTTTTACAGAATTTCCGTGAAAAAAGTATTTTATGTCTGCATTCATTGACATTGATCAGTTTTGTTCTCTGTCCTCAGCGGAAGAATACCAGGAAATAACCTCAAAGTTCTCAAATAACAGAGCACAGCTTCCGACTTTATTTATTGCAACTCCTAAAGACAAGTTTACTTCGTTGTGGACCAAGGATAAACCTACCACGCAGGTTTGGTTTTAAATCTTTCAGTTACCAATACCGCTTTACCTTTCCTGATAAGAGGTGATTTTTCTGTTTGTTATACCCATTTTGAAATCACTGGTGATCCCTGCAATCTGTTTGGCTCCAAGTAGTGTGATTTACTCAAGAATCACACCATATTTTTTGCTCTGAAATCACATCTGTTCTAAATCGCATTATTTCTGTTTTAAATCGCAGCATATTCAGTTGCTCTATATCGCGTTATTTCTGTTTCAAATACCAAATGAGATGTAAGAGCCTTTTTGTCTCCACTTTTCAACAAACCGGCTACAAGATCAATAAAATGTTGGTACTGACTGAATTCTACGATTTCAAAATGGCTGTGGTAAAGTGGTAATTGAACTTCGTTTCCTGCAATTTTGGTCTGAAATCATACTTGTGATTCCAATCGAACTCGCGCTGGGCGCTCGTCCCGTTTTAATATCTCGCGTATGATTTCGGACCAACTTGCACTCTACTCAGTTCAATTACCATTATGTATTCTGCATAATAAGTGTTTTCTTGAAAAGGTAGTGATTCATATCAGTTTTGTCTGTTGTTGTTGTTGTTGTTTATTATTTTTTTTCTTTTCCCAAGTTTTGTTCTCTCTTTTTTTTACAGATTCTTAACAGACTTTCCTTGCTTGCAAGAGAATCCCACTCGCTTTTGAAACGACAGATTGAAACATGCGCTCTGCAGACGACAGACTTTAAGGTAGGAAACGCATGGTACCCGATGGTACCCATAAATTTCTGCTGGGACGAGACGGAGTTGCGCCGGCTCATTTTCCGAACAGCGGCTAGCAGTAAAGCCTACGCGAGCGATGAGAGTCGGCTCTATTCGCAAGCCATGTCACTAAAACACTTGAACTTAAATTATAATCACTGAACCACTGATGTTGTTATGTTACTCTCGTATTGTTGTGCTCATATTTTAGCAAATCTTCCGTCCTCCATTGGATCACTATGACGTCATTGTTCACCTCCACAGCGGCCTCCTTCCCCGTGGAAACCAGGCGCTCGATCGCTTGAAACCGGTGACGGAACCAGCCTCGTTATTGCGTCACTCAGTTTTACTTCCGGTCGTGAACTTCGACCCTGTTCAGTTGTACGTTAGGGAACTCAAGGTGAGCAATTAGTCTCTGATGGAGAACTAACCAAGTGACGTATGGGGTAATGTCGCCTCCGTTTAAGTTTCCAATTACAAATCTTTAACAGGAGACGCCGGAATAAGGTTTAAGCGCGGTCACTGAGCTCACTGAAATGTCAAAAATGTTTATTCTTCCTGATCAAAGTACTTGTGTCAAGCCATTATTGCAATCACAGTTTTCATTTTGTAAAATATTGAATATCAATGTTACTACGAAGGTGCTGTAGAGTTTTCTATATAAATATGGCCATAAGGTTTTATCCGCACATTTCAATGACAGAAGTACATTGCATGTCTTCTTAAGGTGGTACGAAAGGCTAAAACCTCAAAAAGTACCTCGACTCTTTTTTTTCGTTAATATGAAAGTTTAGATATAGATTTAGAAATCTCCAAAGAATGGGGCTCTATAATACGTTGGTTTCTGAGAAATGGAAGTTCAAATCTCTTCGATAGTGGCGCCATTTTGCGACGTCATATTGGATTCACACACGCACACATTCTGAGATACATTGCCTGTATACAGTATCCGTCTACCTGAAACAGCTGCACAGAATTTAGGGAAAGAAAGAGTTGAATGCCAAAAAAAACAGCTTTTAAAAACCCTCAAACGTCTGACCTTTTTCAGTTTACTGTATTTTTTCAGGAAGCCTTTTCGGACATCGCCCTCTTCTTTTATGATGTATTTGGAGGAGACTTTGTTGGAGTTATATGGAAGCCCCACAGTTTTGTTCCAGCTCAGTTTAAGGTATTAACTACACTAAGTTACTTTAGTATGTCGAACACCATCTACGTTTCATGAGTAGTGGTGCAAGTGCAAATATTGTTCCCCAGTTGTAGCCAGCATAGGAAATAAAAGACTATGAACTTAAGTGAGTTAAGTCCATGAAACGTTCGGCGCCTGGCTCAGCTAGGTTCGTCTGAATGAGTTAGGATCGTCCAACATGTTCGATCCGTCAGCTTCAGACGGATAGAACGTCTGAAAATTGTCTCCGAGACAAACGTCGATGTTCACACGCGATATACTAAACTAATGAATCAAAAATTTGTATGATAGTGTATATTAAGCCTTTTTCGGTAGTTCTGATTCATTTGATTGGTTCGACGCGTCCCAAGTTCGACGTCTGACCCAACAGACGATCTTAACTTACTTCATGTCGACCTAAATTAGAGTTCGGTTCGTCTCATGAAAAGTTCGACGTTTAACCTAGGCCTTAGGCTGCAAAAGCCAGATGGTATGAAAAGAAATATAACAACTATACAGTCGAAGCTCTCGTAAGCGACCACCTCGGAAATTCGAAAAAGTGGTCGTAACTAGAGCTGGTCGCTTGCGAGAATGAGCTCTCGTAAGCGACCGCATGTTAAAATAACCGAGGATTGTCGCTTACGAAAGCTTCAGAAACTCATTAATAATTCATAAAGAAAAAACAAAAAAATAATGTTTAATGAGTGTTTTTATACCTGATATAGACACGGCTAAACTTTACGTCCAGTTTTTTTACTGGTATGAATAAGACTGTGAGGGATAGCTTACGAGCGCTTAAAAACGAAGGAAAAGTGCAGTTGGGTAATCCCAAAAGTGGTCGCCGTCGCCTACGGGAATGGTCCCTTACGAGAGCTTTTAATTACAAAGTTTAAGCCACAGCTCAAACGGGCTTTCACAAAGGTGGTCGTAACTAGAGCTGGTCGCTTATGAGAGTGGTCGCAAGGAGAGCTTCGACTGTAGGTGGGTGAACAAAATAGAACTGTGTTCTGATGGTCTATTTTCTTTTCCTTGAATTTCACTAGGTGCTACACTCTCAGTGCAAAATGCCTTTAGACAACGCCAAATCAAGTGAAAAGGTTAGAAACTATTTATACTATGTTTAACGTTAATGACTACAAGTATGTGATTCTTATCAGTCAGGTTGGATGATAAAGTAAACAAAACCTGTGATTGAATCCGACCGGTGATATTGATAAGAATGACAGACTTGTAGTTTATGCATGCAAGTCGTAAGTGTTTGCTCTTTCTTTGGCGCTGTATAACTGAAGTACTACCGCAAAATTCCGCTGATGATAATCTGGGGGGCTTTGAGGGGCTTATATACGGAGGTTCTTATTGTAGGAGGGGGATTTTTACGTTTCAAAGATCTGTATCACCAATTTTGTAATGTGCAAACGATAATATAGGTGCATCGACTTCAAACACAACAGCAAGGACTTGACTAAAACTAAAATTCCTTACATATTATAAATGGCAAAGCAAATGAGTAACCACTAATGGTGTCTGCAACGCCATGAAGTACCCCGTAAAATGTAAATCCAGTTGATAAATTTCATAAGGTGAGTCAAAGTTCATAGAAATCGAGGTTTTGTAGTAGTTCCTGTAAGTGTTCCGATATGGTGTGGCTTATTTTGTTTGTATATTTGCGGGTAATTGTCAAATATACTGCACTGGGGGTTATACAAAGGGGTCAATTTTCGGAATTTTACGGCGCTTATGAGTTACTTTGAAAATTTAATAAGGTCCATAGTGTTGATGGTTTTCGTTCATTCGTGCAAAGGTGGTAATTTGTTTATTTTGTCTTGTTGTATTTATTTCAGTCCAAACATGTTCCCAGTTTGGTCGTTCCTAATGTATCAGCGGTCTTGACAGATTTTCAGACTATCGGAGAGGGTCTGGTAAAGAAGATTGAAGTGGTGAATGCGTGAGCGGCAGCCAGATCTAAATACTTGCAGTTAACAGTTAAATTGCAGTTGTTGTTTACTGTAGAGAAAGATGCGAATAATAACTCTATTTCAAATAAAGCGATTAGACTGTTTTAACCTGTGATGATTGTGGGTTTGATACTGCATAAACAGTTTTGTCCTCTAAAAATCCCGGCAGATTTTGAGCAGTCACTTGACATTTAACTTTCTTTCTAGTCTTAGGGTCCCAATAAAACCCCTCTTGTTTCTGAAAATCTTCCAATTTGCTCCCCCTACAGATCCAAGTCCAAAAAAGAAGGATTTTTTATTTTTTTATTTTTTTTTTTTTTGCGACATGAACAACGAATTATTTCGATGCTTGACAGCTTCCGGTCTTCCTCTGCCTATTAGGTGATTTCTCGCGCGAGCTATCTTGGATTTCTCGTGACTCTGGATTCTTCCTTCCTCCTTCATCTGTTCCTTTTCCAATTGAGCAAGAGCTTTAGAATACACGGGTTTTTTTTAAGTTTTTGAAAAAGATTCATATGATCTCTCTTTAATTTCCCCTGGTGGGGATGGGGCATTTGAACGGGTTTTGGCTCGGGGAGTGGGGAATTTGAACACTTATACTACTACATGACAAATTTCTGCAATTTGATTGGCTTAGAGCAGTGGTATTTCAGCATAATTTGAAATACCTATATGTAAAAATTACTTAACCTTTGAGGAAAGAAGTGTAAACAAATAATGGCATGATTTGTACGTGATATTTGGCATAAATACCACTCGCGATATTTCAAGATTGTCTCAAATTTCACTCGCCTAACGGCTCGTGAAATTACGTATAACAATTTCGAAATATCGCTCGTTGTATTTATACCAAATATCACTACAAATCATGCTATTACCTATACTAATTTGCGGGAAAATTTAAATGCCTGGGGAGGGGAGAGGCTACTGTCGGGTAGTGGAGTGGGGCTCGTCGGCGTTCGTGAGTTCGTGGGCTAGTTAGAAGTACTGGGTCCAAGTTGGGCGCCATCTTGGAAACTTTACGTTGTCGCACGTTGCAAGTTATCCGTTTTCCACCTCCAGTGAAAGTATTTGAAAATGAGCAAAAAACAAACACCTAGTGACTTTTTAAAACAAATCATAGGCCGTCCTGTAGTGGTAAAACTTAATAACGGCGTCGACTATCGAGGTAAGCAACAGCTTTCTGCTTGTGAGTGAAAAGCATGCCCGAGGCTATGAACGTTTGTTCGAAATTCGAACGTTTTGTAGTAAATGGTCCTTTTACAGATCCAGAAAGTAGGGGAAATGGAGTTTGTGTTGTGGAATCTTGTACCAGCCTGTACGTCTTTTTTACTCTGCCCAGTAAAGTGATGTACAGTCTATCCTCCAAGTTATGCTGTCCCTAATAAACCTGGCACTGATACACATGGTTCTTGGTTTAGATTGGGTAGAATGGGCTATTGCATTTTAGTAAAATCCAACTAGTGGTCTATTATCAATGCTGCGTTCTGATTGGTTTAGCTACTACTAGGCTATATGTTATAGCTCACTACTAGTGAAAAGCGCAGGCTTTTTAGCAGCAAAAAAGGATTAAAGTCTAGCTTTAACTAGCCATTTTTTTATTCTCGTTATTTTTTACCAACTAGTTGGGCTATTGACTCAGAGCCCATTTGGGCTTGAGGAATAATAATTGTTAATAATATCCGTATCCCCACTCCCGGTTGAGGACCTACCTTTTCTTCTTACCCCTGAAGATTAAATAAAATTGCATTTTATTCCTGAAGACTTCCAAAAAATGTTGGTCCTATCCCTGAAGAATTTCATGAAAAGGAAATCTCTACCCCCAAAGAATTCCATATTTTCTGACTTTACCCCTAAAGAAATCCTCAGTTTTTATAACTTGCTGCTGAAGAATTCCGTGGTTCCTCAACCAGGCGGGGTGGGTATTAAATGCAATAGCCTAATAGACATAGGGTTTTACTGCTTCTGCAATCCCCCAGTCCTCTCAAAGCAGCATAGATCTGAGTCTCACACTTGATTTTCACGTGATTTTCACTGTTTTCCATTTGACTTAGACGTCAAATTTTAAAAATGCACTTGAAATTTCTTTAGCCACGTTTTGGCAAATCCAGTCAGATATATATGTTTGTATATGTTGCGGTTCAATTTTGTCCTTGGTTTAAATTATATTTTCCTTCGTTTTTGGGTATGGTAATATATGGTAGTGAGTTTGAAACAAACGAAAATAAAATAAATTATTTGAACCAAGGAAAAAATTTAACCTCAACATTTTCATAAACTGCTGTTTAAAGCATCACAGGCTCATTCAGGCCAAACATTGAATTGGGAGTCTATTTTTTCTGCATTTGTTTTACTTTCAACCAACTTTTAGTTATCATGAACCCTTCCAAGGCAAAAAGCTGCAATAAATATTTCTCTTTAGGGACTTATGCCTCAGCAGACTGGGTTGTCCAAGGGGCAACTGATCACCACAAATTGGTTGCCCCATTGATATTTTTGGTTGCCTGGGACAACCAGACAACAATTAATTTCGAATCCTGCTGGGTTTGGACAATTCATTCACACATATCTTCAGCTTAAAAGTGTGAAGCATCAGTCACTAGACAGGTGACAGCCTTTGTTTGAAGTTGTTTAAGAGTGTGTGCGGCATTAATTAAAAGTATCCTTTGTTTCAGTGGTGTATTGTCACCATGATTCTTGAATGATGGTAATAATGATGTTGATGGTGATATTCATCAGGCATCTGTTTTACATGTCCTTTTAGGGGTGTTAGCCTGCCTTGATGGTTACATGAATATCGCTCTTGAACAAACAGAAGAGTATGCAAATGGCCAGGTGAAATAGCCCTCTTTTCTGTTGTGGTTGGAAATTGTTGGTTAATGTTTTGTACAGATCAGTTAGATTAGTGACAAAATTAGTCAGTAATTTTACTATTGTTGATATTGATTTTTCAATAATTTTTGGAGCCAATTGCGATAAATAGACAGTATGTGACTCTTTTTATTTTGCATTGTTTGTAATATTAAAAATAAAAACTATAAACTTGTGGTATTTACAATTTTTGTCATCATTTAAAGAGACCACAGAAAATCAAAGAAAACTTCTTTTTTTCTAAAAAAGAAAAAAAGGAAAGGCATTTAAGCTTAGGAAGGTACTTTTTTGGCAAAACTTTGTATGTATCAGATAAAAAGGAACAAACTCATCTTGAAAAAAAAACAACTTTACTCCCATTGGTGAAATAAATTTGATCTGTGAATTTATTTTTAGCTGAAGAACAAGTATGGAGATGCTTTCTTAAGAGGAAACAATGGTATGTTGTATTTTCCGTGTCGACCTTTGTTACAGGATTATAAAAAGATGAAACTATAGCACAACAAATGAAGTTGTGACAGATGCACATAATTGCAGGGCTGTCACTAAGGTAGTAGGCTGATTTAGCAATAGAATGGGAATGTCATTCGATGACAGTGCGCACAAATCAAACAACTGGTTTGACCAATGGCTGACTGGCAAATTGGGCACTGGAAGTAGAGCTTAGTCCTTTATGACGCCCTGACGTTCCCGCTCTGTTGCTAAATCAGCCTAGTAGGGATACCTTAAGACAAGGAAATATCATTAAATATCATTATCACTGGAGCATGAGTGTTTGTATTTTTGTGTGATTTTCAACACAAGTCAGGATTATTATCTTATATGCAAAGTTGAGTAAGAATTCTTTCTGGCTTAGGACAATGCTCCTTGCACTGCCATGATGTTTTTCTCCCTTCTGTTACAGTGTTATATATCAGCACACAAAAAACAAGCCGCAGATAGGAGGAAAATTGAAGAGAACACTTCATCCACTTTAAAGAACTGCCATCTGTTACATAGCCTTTTGTGAATATCTCTTCTTTTGTAGTTTCCGTTTGAACAGTATCAGTAAGCTGCTGTATTGTATGCTTTACAAATAAATGCCTAAAAAGCCAAAGGCGTCCTTTGTCTTCGGTGGGTGATCTGCAGGGACTGAGATCTTATTACCGGTGTATAAAAAAAGCCCAGGAGGTGGGGAATCCCATATAAAAGTGACTAAGATCCTCATCATCTCGCTTTGCAGTGTAAATTGCAGATTTTGGTCTCACTTAGGGTTTTGGGATGGAAAGTCACTATATTTGCCCATTCAGGTATTGCTATGTATTGTGCATAAAGAAGTTTACAAAACACGCCCTGACACTGACCACACAAAAATCTCCCTTAGGGGTCAGTTTAAGCTTGAGCCACATCCACATTGGTCTCCCTTAGGGGTTCAATTTGAATTTTCTGACAAGCATCGCCCTCACTTTTATATGAGAGTCCCCCGCCCTCCCTGGGATAGAAAGTGATTTATCCTCATTGACAGCCCTGCCTGTTAACATTGTGAGAATGTATATTGAGATACCAAATCAGTTCCAGTTATCTATCTCTATTTTCATGTGCTTGCAATGTTCTTTTATCTGCATGTATCAAATTAAATGTCCTTCCCCTACCTCAAATAGAGTGCCCTCCCAGCCTCCTTCAAATTTTAATTTGTCTTAATGCACAACGCATTTTTGGTGGATTAATGATTTCTTATTATTTTGATTTCAATATCATCATTCTGGCCCCTCTCGAGTAAGACAGTCTGTCGATCCTGGAATAAGCACCTGGGCCGTTTACCAACCGATTTTTCCGGATGCGAGATTTCCCTTATTTGAAGGCCAGGATTCTGGATTTTAAAGCAAAATGGGGGCGATAATCGGGTTTGAAAGTACCGTAAATCTTGCTTCCCCGCAAAAGGGGGGGGGGGTTATTACAGGGTGGGGGGCTTAATGGAGGATTTACAACATGTTCGGGATGCAGGATGCCGAAAAGGAAATATCGGAGCGAAAATTTTGGTCAGGATGATGGGATAATTGAAAAGTCCTATTGGGTACTGTCATCTAAGGGTGCTTGTTCATTATAATATTTATGTCCTCTCCTAGGGCGCTTGGCTAGTTTGGCCAAGAGGCTGGGGAGGGTTTAAGCTGGCTTTTGCTTAACCTAAATGAGTGAGGTCCAGCTTTCGCGCAGTTTTATCTCTCACTTTACAAACTGACACCAAAAAATCGCCAGCTACGCAGGCTATAAGCTCAGTCTCCAGCCGTGGGTGTCTCGATGCACCCTCGATTCACCCGCGGTACTACACTAAGCCTACGCAGACTAGAGCACCTCCGATTTTGCGGCAGGCATACACAGTGCAGTCCCCTCCCCCCTTGCAGTGTTGTTAAAAAGCGCAGAAAGCTTTAGCGATTTTCAACTTTGTGAAGGGGGAGGCGGGGGAAATTGACAAGCGTTCCAACTTTTTTCTTACTATTTTGTCCGGGGTTAACGTTCAATAGGTGCCAAAAGTCAACCATGACCCGGGCCACGGCCCGGCCACGTCCCCAGGGACTTCTTTCCTACCGCCGCCATATTGGAAAAGGAGAAGACGAGAAGACCCTGGGGAGTCCCCTGGGGAAGATAGGTCCTCTAGCAGGCTTGGTTACCCGTCTACTGATAGAAACCGAGAGAAGCCGAGAGAAACCGAATGCCAAAGAACATGTTGAAACGTCAGTACGAATCTTTCCGATAATGAGAAAAGCACTTCCGGCTAGCCATATTAGGTCATAATCGTAGTGTTTGGGTCTATTTATTAGACAGGCGCAGTGAAAGTTTCTTAGCGGATGTTGCTCACCGATGGGGAAGGAGTCTGTAAGGTTTCGGGGGAAGAAAATGCGATGGCCATTGTTTTAACTCCAAAGAGTTTGTATAACCTTATATCTCAGACAGAGCCAAGCGATAACAGGCTTCTAGTACATGTAAAATTGACAGATTCGTGCTTGCGAGCGCTCGAAGAATATCAATCAGCCGAGGTATGGTTCAACGAGTTCGATATTCTCTCTCACAAGCATGGCTTTGATTCTCTAAGTGTGAAGCGTAAGGCATTATTTCTGAAGTAGTTCGTTTGCTAGATTTTTACTTATTGTCTCTATTGTCTTATTTCTTTCACTGTAACAGGTCTCGCCAAGAAGAAAACCTACCATTCAATTTTCTGGATATCAAGGAGTGAGTTTTTGGTTGATTTTGTGTCATGCCCCGTTCTAATCCTTCTTTAGATTTTCAATTTTTTATTTGTTCCTGGTATCGCCGGTTAATAAAAAGTGAGCCAGGTTGAAAATGAATAAATCATAGCACCAGATGTTAATTCAGGCATGATAAGAGACAGCCGGCAGAATCGAATGCAGTATAACTTACTTTGTTTTCAAAACCCTTTGCCATAATATTTTGTTTCTCTTGCGCAAATGCTTCCTCTTTTTCTGCCATGCACTTCTCAACAGAGACTCAGTTCATTTTTTACCCATACTAAAATTTGTGTTGATTGTTTTTCCCTTTTTTAAAGTTTTAATATGGAGCATAATCCTTTTGAAACAATGAAAATGATTTAGTCAATTGCGTGATGATCGAGCCCCTTTGAGTATCTTTCAAGAGTTGGTTGTAAATTTATCGATTGATTTTAAACCAAAACCTTGTACAAAATGAAAATATGGTCTCGGTTATAAGGGTTTTTGTTCAAATCGAATTCTTGTGACCATATCGAACAAAAGCTTAACTCGTTATTTCCTGATCTCTTTATATGCAGATGAGTCAGCTCTTTAGTTAGTTAATCTTTTTCTAAATTTCCAAAATGACTTGATCAGACTCTCTGTTTATTGTTGAATAATTCGCATCAATGATGTTATTAGTCGCATTTTTAAAATGCTTGAATGCGCAGTTTGTGCTATAGAAGCCCCTGTTTTGTATCACGTATGCAATATCTGAGTTTGTCACACTTGGTACAAAAATATAAAATTCAACTAACATCTGTGAAAAATTCTTCAATTTGTTTATTGGCATTGTTTGCCAGCCTCCAGTTGATCATTTCTAGAAATATTCCTTATTTCTTAGGGACAGTTACAGTGTAAACATTCATGTATGTTGTATTCTAACCAGTATATGTATTTATAGCCAGTCAAGGGTCCACATTCCTTTAAAAGTACATGTTACGATGGATTAGTGACTTTTACTCGGGAACCCTTAAATACATGTCATGTCGCAAAGGGCGCAAAAAAACCTCCGCAAAATTACTGTACATTGAATGTGTCAAACACTAGGCACATCATTCTTTAAAAATTGTGATGGTTTTTAATTCAAACCATTCTTGAATGTTTCTCTTTCTGCGAAAACTAACTTGGAATATGAAACAGAGATTAAAACAAGTGCCTGTTAAATAAACTTCTGTTCCTTTAAGGTAATCGGAACTCAACTCCTAAACATGACCGCCCAGGCATGCTTTCAGCTGAACCAGCAAAAGAAACTAAATATATGAAATGTTAGACTTTGTTGACTTTATTCTGAGTAAGGGATCCATTTTCAGTCAAATGCTTAGCTCTTTTCTGAACAGGGTCAAGTGCCAAGATTTATACTATGCAGCAGATCAAACCTCCTAGCAAAGGACTTGACATGTCTCCTTAAATGCTATTGACTGCCATCTTTGCTAAACTGTGAGATTGCCTCTTGTAATAAAATTATCTATTAGAACGATAATATTATTGTTAAAAATTGGGATGGTTGCCATACTCAATAGTCATGGGGCAATCAAATTTAATACGCCACAGTCCACATTTCCAAGTACAGGAAGTTCTTTTGAAGTTCCATGATGAATAATGATTAATAGGTATCTTGTTTTTCCCTTCAGTCAGTATCAATACCACTGAAAGGAGATGAAAACACTGCAAAATTTCAACTTGATTGCTCCGTGCTGCAGTCAGCTAGGCAGCAGGGTGGTATGGACTGCGTCCAGCAACCTAGTGGCAGTAAGGACATCAGAACTGTTGGGACAGTCACACACAAGATTAACGTTAGAGCTACTGATGATAGTTATCAGATGACACAACAGAGGATGAAAGAGGTTGAGGAAGAAAGAAAAGGTGTCAGGTAGAAACTCACAGAATTGTACAATGCACTCCTGTGCTTAGTAGCTGTAACTTATCTTCAAACTTGCTCCACATTTGCTAAGCTTAAGACAGAAAGTAGACTTTCACAGTCCCCTATTTTTTCTAAGATCATCAGGATCAATCACTTACTGGTAGGGGTGGCCATCTTTGTTTCATTTGTACTGAGGGCGCTGGCATTATGGTTTAAAGCGGTAAGGTATTTTTCTCGTTTCCTTCCAAACTGTCCCCCACCTTCTTAGTAGATAATTTGACGCCCATCCAAAATGGCTGCCTGTAATGCAAAGCTCTTGATCTCCACGATCTTACGGAAAAATAGGGGACTGTGAACAATCTAGACAGAAAGCAAATTCGTAGTTTTTTGACTCAGTGTAAACATGTTGTTTCAGCCCAGTTTGCTAAATTTGTAAAATGAAGGCATTTTAAGGACTGTATCAAAGTTAACAAAAAGAAAGAAGAATTTTTGGTTATGTGATTACTTCCGTCTTAAAATGTTGGATCAGGACATATTTCATGTACATGGATGAATAAAATTTGTATGCACTTTCAGAATAGAAATAGCAAATTTGGTCTTAATAGTTGCTTGTTATATGTTGCTTGCAGCTAGCCACAAAAAGTTCTGAGCCAAAATAGCTTGTAATAATCAGACTAGGGTGCTGAATTTATTTTGAACTCTGCTTGTTGTTAATAACACTTCTTGTCCATTGTCTGTTGCAGCACAAAAGTGATCAACATGCCGAAGAAAGGTACATTTGTTGTAATCATTTTCAGCAAATGCCCACCATGTTAATTGTACTAACTACTTCCTAGTCCCAAGTACTTCCCAGTCAATGACATGATGCCATGTACCATTGTTTATAGAATGCTCTGTTTCAGGGTGTGCAGGGTGGGGGGGGGGGTCCAGATTTAAAGAGAGCAAGGCAATTTGCCAGTATCCTCAAATAATAACTTAGAAGTTGACATGCTGATAGTTAGCTCTAGCAACATCTTGTCTCAGTTTTGATCGTCACATCATTGGGCAGTTTCATTTAGCCACTGACCTGTCCTTCTTTTCCGCTCCTTGTCAGTTTGTAGGAGATGTAAAAGAACTCATGTTAGCATTAAAAAAAATAATGGTAACATTGGGCCAGCTGTGGTTTATTATTTGCCACTTGCAGTAATATTTGTGATGTTTGTAATTGGTGCCTGGATGGGAGATTCTGTGTGCATGATTCAGGCAGTTCTTTCTTCCTTGACAATAACAACAAAAAACAAAATCATATTCTTGATGTGCAGACACAAATCTTTAAACAAAATAGAATTTAAAATTATGTGGTTAGACTACATCAAGCACAGAAATATGTCGATTGAAAGATTTTTCAAGATACCAGTACTCACTGAAACATGTTAGTTATTATTTATCAGTCTATTTATTAATCATAACTCCTAAATATAGATCGTTTTCACCATCACGCAACAAAAAAATAAATTGGAAACCGTCCAGTGGAAGAAATCAAGAAAATGAAATGTTATAAAAGACTAATATATAAACAATTTGTCCAAGTCTCAGGTCTTTGTGGCCCATAGTTTCTGGGTTATTTGGCGAAACGTTTCACGCACCTTTGTAGAGCTCTGTATGGAGACGCCATATTGGTGCACCGTTTTGGTGCACCAATATGGCCGCCGGAAGTCAACGAAAACATCTGGAGTTTACTTTTTCTACAAAAGCTCTTTCTTTTCACTCGAGAACTAGCGTACGTACGCATAAACATATCCTCTAATACTTGAAGTTTTTATATTGCTGAAAATCAAGGGAAGAGACTTTTTTTCAACGAGACAGCATTCCTATTTTGGTGTCATGCACTGTGAAAACTCGGGAGTTCAACTTGCTGTATTTTCGAAATAAAACATGCTACGGAAATGGAAACTTGTACAAAGATCTCCTTTTTGTTTATCTTCAATCTAGTGTAAATAAGAATTCGTAAAACCTCGCTATTTTGACTTTACAATTTGATGACGTCACAGTGAAAACCATCTATAGATTGGAATGAAGTAACAATATGTTTTCTGCCAATGACTTTTTCAGGCAGTAAAAAGGGGATAAAGGGCTTATCAATACACAAACCTCAAAACAGTGTAAACTCTACTGTAAGGAGGCAAATAAAGTCTGCCAGTGTAGGAGTTAAAGTTTCATCAAGTGGACCTAGTAAATCTCTCAGGTACGTGCTTGTTTTTATTTAAAAAACTCATTAATAATTCATAAAGAAAAACCAAAAGAAAATAATGCTTAATGATCGAGTGTCTTTAAATCTGATAAAGACACAGCTAAACTTTATGTCCAATTTAGCCACGTCTTTATGAGAGATATTAAAGATGCTCGCTTAACATTAATTCCTTTTGTTTTTTCTTTATGAATTATTAAAGAGTTTTTAAAATTTATTATTTTAAATTACAGCCTTTGAAGCAAATTCAGTTGAAATAATATTATTGTTGTAAAAACTCTTTCCGCATCCTATTGGTAAATCAGCAACATGTTGCTATCCTCGAAGCAAAGCAACAACAAGGAAACTATCAGAAATTACAACCTCCATGTGTTCTTTTCAACACAGACTCAATGACTGATGAATTCATTGCAGATTAGCAAATTAAATTTCCAAGATTTTACAGGCTCTCATTTCCCCCAACCATTCTGTTAAAGCAGCTGTTTTTACATAAGTTACAAGCAATTTTGTGATTATTTTGTTAATCCTAAAATAGCCTTATTAGTTCAACTGTGTAAAGTGTAACTAAAGCTGAAGTGACTCACTCTAAGTTATTTCTTTTTGCCTTAACAGGGAAACAGTAATTCATTTATTAGCAGTTAAACCTTACAAGAAACTAGAATTAATATCTAGATTGACTAAAGGTAAGAAATATACATGTACCCATCATTTTCTGGCTTCCTCAATTGCCCTTGAGAACCACTGAGGAAGCCAAAGAAACAGTGTGTGCATAATACCTGAATTTTAGTCTTGATTTGTTTTAATTTAATTTAATTTTGCTGTAATTTCTTGTATTTTTGATACAATCTCATGCAAAAACAATGCGTTTAAAATTTAAAATGCAATGGCCAGCATTTTTAAAAGCTTCTGTTTTTATCTTGCAGATGGTGTGAATTTACAGAAAGATAAGAATTCATTGACTGTATTATTACAACAAGTAAGTGAAAAGAGACATGATTTTTATGTTTTACAAAATAATACTGACAGTGGTCATTAGCCATTCTTCTGACTGGGATATGAAGTAAATTAGCTCCAGTAAAATTGGAAACCACTCATACGGCATTTAAAAGCTGCCATGTATTGAGATTGTCCCAGAACCCAAGGACCCCCCACCCTTTCCACCCACTCTTTGCCCCCAGCTACACATATGTTCTAATCTTGATAGTGAAGATAGAGTATTTATTCAATTAACCGCCCTGGGCACGTATTAAATTTTTGGACCTTGAGAGTGGGCGCTTATTTGAGGTGGGTGCTTATTCGAGGCTGGGCGTTTATTAACTTTTTCTTCCTTTAGGATGGGCACTTATTCGAGGTGGGCGGTAATTCGAGGTTGGGTGCTTATTCGAATAAAATAATACAGTACAAGTACTAAACAGTAACTAATCAGTTTTACTCCCTCCTTTTTATAACTAGTATATTAATTTTGCATATAGAGCATGGAAATAGGAATAAAATTTTGACCTTTATACAATGTCATCTAGTTCAGCTGATAACCTTAATTTGCTTTGTGTGATAATTAAATATTATTTTAACCTCATGAACTGTTCATTTGCAGGTTGCTGTTATGACTGACAACCAATATAGATTATTAAAACATTTATATTCTGAAGTTCAGGTAATTGAAAATAACAGCCCCTCACCATCATTAAAAATATTTTAGTCTTTACTGGTATACAACTTCATTCTCTCATTCACCATATTGATCACCATCGGCATGGCTGAGGTGATCATTCAAAATTGACCATGAATACTTTATTGAAGATAGCTTCGCACAGTGTGAGGTTGTTCTGCCACCAACAAAAACTGGTACAAGATTTATGGTTGTGGCCTTGCAGTTTACAATTAACACTGAAAGCAATATTAAAAGAAAAGAGAACACAGATAATTTTTGTTAAATTATGATAATTATATCACCAACCTTTTGTTTAGGTTGAAACATGGCCTGGCTATAGTGAAATGGATAGACAAGCTTTGCGCAGGTGAGAATCAAACAAGAGACAGTTGGAACCTTGTATAAGTAATTTGCAGAGAGTGGATTTGAAAGAAGTTATTAAGAGTTGGTCAAGTTGGAACACGTTTCATATCAAGATTGACTGTGTAATAGTCACAATTCCAATTCCAAGACCCTAGTAACCCAAGAAAAATAGAGGGACTGTAATAACATGACTGCAGCTCGCGTTCACGGAGCGCGTTGTACCAGAAACGCAGGCGTTTGATTGGTCATTAGACAATAGATGTTAATTTGCATTGACAACGGGTTTAGTTTAAGTTGCCGACATTGACAAGTCCACGTTTCCATTAACGTATGCTTTCATACCATAAGGCACATCTTGAGCAAACACATGAAGGATTTTTGGTATTTTGATTAGGAAAATGTTTTCTTGTGCATGTTTGCCGATTTTATTTCGAGGAATGGCCCAGAAACATTATAAAATCACTGTTTCGAAGGTAGATATTTGTAAACACGCATAATCGATGCAGAATGTGTCTGGCATGTTTTTCATCACCAGCGGAGCTTCTTAATTAATGAATGGTAAAAGGCGTGAAATTCCTGTCACGCCTCCTGAACGCGAGCTGTGGTGATGTTATTACAGTCCCTCTATTTTTCTCGCTTCCTTCCAAACCGCCCCCGACCCCTAAGTATTTTTGACACTCATGCAAGATGGCAGCCGGCTCTCAATCTCGATGATCTTACGGAAAAATAGAGGACTGTAAACAGTCTAATATGCGGCCATATGCGGATCCCCCCCTGGGGCAGGGACTAACTGTAGGTGTCCATGGTAGCAAGGTGGTCGTCTTATAAAGTTGTCTGTTTATAGAGAGTTGAATGTATCATAATATGTAAATGTCTATTATTTTTCATCTACTTCTACAGAAAAATGAAAGTACAAACAAATGATAACCCTGTAGTAACTTCAACATCTTCTCCACCCAAAAATACTCAGGTACTTGTATGTTAGACCTACATTAATAGATACTTAAAATGACTTGTACAGTGTAAGTAGAAAATGATGAGCACAGTGTGGCTTGTCATCACAATAAAAGTTACATTTAATTGCTTTTGAATACCATGTGGAGAAAAATAAAAAACACAGGGTTCTCAATAGAAGGCGGCACCCGGCGATTGATCGCCGCTTACTTTGTGTTTAAGTAGCTTTTCTTTGCTTTGTTTTGACACCTCTGGCTTTGCTGAAGAGCCTTCTACTTTATCAGTGACCACCTCCTACTAAAAAATCTATTGAGAACCCTGTAAACACAGCTTTTTTCCAGTAGAGTCTGTAAAAAATTATAATGCTATCAAGTCATTATTATCATAATTTGTGGTCACTATCATTAACAGCGATTTTTTATGGTCCAAACCAAAAGCTTATTAACTTTTGTGGGCAATTTAAGGTGCATAGTATGACTGTGTACTTGTCCTACATTATACGTAAAATATTTAACAATTATTGGACGAGGTTGTGCAAAATATCGTGATTTGTCTGTGGCGAGCAGATCAATTATTTGCCAAAGCCGAAGGCTGAGACAAATAATAATTGATCTGCAAGACACTGACAAATCACAATATTTTGCGATAACTGAGTTCAATAATTGTTTTATCATTCGATCACCGAGTATTATAGGTATTTTACTTCAGATTTAAAATTAAGAAAAGTAGCCCCTTTATTTGTGCCACCGTTGTTTGAAAACAAAACAAATTAATATTATTATTATTAAAGTCAGCAATAACTCAATTCTCCACCCTTTTCAATCTTCAATAATAGTGATAGTAGTAATGATAATAATCATAACAAACTAATCATAATAAAATCATATTTTTCAGACAACCAAGCAACCAAGCAAAAGAGTCTGTTCTAGTGAATCTGACAGATCTTCAAAGAGGCAGCGTGTTGCTCATATAAACAAAAACAACAACATTGTAATGAAAGAGTCTATTAGCAAAGATTCTCCCATTGCAACTCCCAAGACCAGCCCTGATAGCCAAAGTGAGGACCAGTCATACCCTGCAGTGAAAAAAGAAGTAGTAGATTCAAGTACAACAGCAAATCTTGGTGAGTATGACGTGAATGATTTAATGGATTCCCAGGGCAATCTATTTAATTTTGGGAGCCCAAGCGGGGGTGTTAAATGGAAAAAAGGTGTTTGAAAGAGAGAGGCATTTATTTTCATAACTGTAACAAACTCCATCAAACTAATTAATGTGCTTTCAGCGAACGTATCACCACAGTATGTAAATAGCAGAGTATCCAATCTTTCCATTGATAAGCCAAGGTCGTTTACAGATCCATGTTGGTTGCTTTTAAGCTCAACGTCAATGTCAGAATTCTTACTTTGAACTTGTCGTTGAACTAGGTGCAATGTGCAAACTCTTGTACATGTTAATCAAACAAGAAATTGGATGAATTGAATGATTTTGATATAATGTGCAGTTCCAAAAAATATCTATACCCCCCCCCCCCTCCCCATGGAGGGCACTTCAGCTTTAGACCCCCAACCCCTCTGGAATTTCCATGAGCCAATAACAACTATCTATCATAGGTGGAGCCGCGAAAAACGCAATGAACTGACCGTAAATAAAAGATCATCGATGGAAACAATTAAGATATTATAATTCTTGTTCTAAAAGACTATTAGCAGTAAATTAACTGAAAGCTTGCTTAACAGAGCGGCTGTTAGTTTTTAATAACTTGCCAATCTTACTCGGGACCCCAGGAAAAAAGACCTCGAGAGGCCACCCCTCACTCCTTGGAAATTGCCTCCTTTGGGACCCCCCCTCCATTGGAATTTCCTTTGCCCTCCATGGAACGGGTACGGATACACTGTGTTTTCTGGAACTACACAGTTATTTTGCTATTTCCTTGTATTTTGGAGCAATGGTCATGTAGGGAGCCTTAGTATTAGACAGGGGGCATCTACAGTGTATTAGAGAGGAATGTCTAATTCCAATTTTGGACAGGTGTTGGGGCATTTATTTAAGAGAGTCAGAGCCAGAATCCCATAGGATAATCGGGATGAAGCATTCCGTTATCAGATAAATTTGATGTTTCGACTGAATCCATTCAATTTCAAACACTGTGTGTGCATCCTATTCACTTGTTGCTTTTGTTTTGTGTTTTGTTTCTTAAACAGAAAACTCAATTAATGGTGTAAATAGTTTGGATTCGCCTGAATTCATGAGGTAAGATGGCTTCATACAAAGCAGGGCTTGAAAAAAACTTGAATTTAGGGGGCCACTTCTTGCTTCATTCTCAGCTTTTATTTTCAATTTAACCCTTTAAGTCCCAATGCTCACCAACATCAATTTTCTCCTAACAATATCCATAGATTGTCAAGAGATTAGGTTATGAGAGTTAGAGCGGTTTTCACTTGACTGTCGTAAAACCAAAACCAAAGTAAATACACTAGCCAACCAAAGGGCGTAGTAAAACCAAAACCAAAACCAAAACCAAAACCCTTTCGACAGTCAAGTGAAAACCGCTCTAATAAAATGATCATCTAAGAGAAAATACTTTGATCTTTTATCAAATTCTCAACACATTCTTCAAGGAAATATATAGAGATCAGTTTAGAGAATTTGTATGTGGATATTGGGACTTAAAGGGTTAACAAACTCTTCCTTTACCATGGAGAGTCAATAATCTCACCATTCAACTGTTTGTTGTCTTCCAGGAAATACAAGCCGATAACAACATATGAACAGCGTTGCTCATATAAAAGAGACTTTCAGGCAGAGTATAGGGTATATGAGGGGCTGAAAGAGAAGGTGGATTCTGTTTCTACAAAGTTTACTGAACTTCAAAATAAACGACAGCAGTTCCCTGAGGGAAGTGAGAAAAGAAAGGTAGGTTAAGATAAATGAATAGTCAAGGAAAAGCAAGCGGATCTGTTTAAAGGGCAACTGGTCACTCAAGGAAGATCGTTATTATTTTTTCTTATCAAAAAATAAAATGACAGTGTGTTACATTACTCGCCGTATTCTGAGCTTTCAAAGTTTGGTCGATTCCAAGTAAGTTCTTCTGCAAAGATTACCATCATAGACTGCTATTGTGAATCGTGTGATGTCATTTGCTCCATTTTGTTAACTGGCAAAAAGCTCAAATAGGCAGAAAGTTTGACATTGCTGCCAGTTTTTCTTTTTTTTTTTTAATGAAATTTCTAAGGTGGTTGGACAAAAAAACCCGATCTTGCCACAACATTGCCATCCCCAAACTTTGTGGTGCACCAAGCTTCCCCTTGCAGGACATTTTACATCACATATAATCCAAAATGGGTGCATATCAGTAAGGGAAGAATTTCAGTGAGATTGGATGGACCTTAAAAACTCAGAGAATGGTTGGCTACTAAACACAATATCAATGGTTTACATGTGATTGGAAAACTAAGGCTCTTCCTAAAGTGACCTTTCCTTTAGTAGGATTAATAGACTGGAGTATATCACACATGCGTCAATCCTAAAATATTTTTGTAACATCCAATCCAAACTGATCCTTTCTCTGCCCAAAACACCTGCATCATCTGGTCAGTAGTCCTTAAATTTTATATGCTTGAAACCTAATTTCGAAACCTTGCCTGCTAAAAAAACCTTTTTTGTAGCTTCCTTTGCTCTGCACACTGTGCTTAGTTCGCTTTGGGAGCTCGCTACAACTTAGGGTTGCAAGGAGTTATGTCTCAGTGAAATTACTCTGATTCTTTTTTTAGGATACTGATGACGAAATTGTCCAGCTCTACCAAAAAATTCAGAAGGTAAGCATTACAGTCTTTTCACTTACCTGTGTTAACATACCTGACTTTCATAATCTTGAACCAAACAATAAGGAGGGGGGGTACTCTCCCCTCATATGGGCTATACGAGTAGGTGCTGCTCAGCAGGGCCTTCTCTGACTCTACACCGTCCTTAGGGGAATCCAAGACAGTCTTGGATTGCGGATTCCACGTCGTGGATTCCGGATTCCAGGTACTTGATCCCAGTCTTTATCAGTAAAAGCCGGATTCTGGATTCAAATCGTTAGCAGGATTCCGGATTCCTTGAGCTGCACTCCGGAATCCAAAGCCCAGGATTACGGATTCCTCAAGCAAAATTTTCCCCAATTCCGGAATCCCAATTCCCTCGCATTGGCGAAACTCTTTACAGTGTTTCAAATCTGGTGATGTTTGAGTCGGCTTGCGGGAGACATCAAGCTACTGATATTAACAAAGAATAATAGTGATTCAGCTCTTGGAAACCGTTAGTCAGTTTCTTTTCTTAATGGTTCTAAACTATAGTGTTTTTACTGCTAGGATACTATGTGGCAACAGACAAAGAAACAGTGCAAAGAGCTGCACACTAAACTGACCTACATCAAAGGACTTATTGCTGCCTATGACAAGAGCATCGCAAGCACGTGACATGCAGCTGATTGCCATGTGAAAGCTCGTGAACACCGCCATCAGACCCACTCCATTGCCATCCTCCAAGGAGTCAGTCAAGGAAAAGGCATTCTTTTAATCATATCCCAACCTCTTTTCCATGGTTTAACGAGATAATGGGAAGCCTAGAAACTACCTTAGTTGCGTAGAGTTCACGTTTCCCCGGATCAGTGAAAAGGCTGTTAACATTATCTACTGGTGAAAGAGAGTGCATGCACTGATTGGACAAAAAGGGGATATCTGAGTTTCCCAAACCGTCACTTTCAAAGTGGGGCCAAGTCCGAAACCTTTCTTGTTAGAATGAAATAAAGGCATAGAGCGCTGACCATTTGTTTGAAAAAAGTGGAAATTCCGGTGAAAATTTACTGAATTTGAATGGTTCATCCCGGTGGACATTTTCTGGAAAGAAGGGCAAAGGTGTTACCTTTTTTTCCCGTTTTTACCGAAACGACCGAAATTTTTTGTATCATTTGTCGGGAAACTTTCATCTAAATTTCCGTAGAAATGGTAAGCGCTCATAGTTTCATACTTTAAAAAACTGCCCTTACGCTCTCTTTGAAAGTGTGGGTTATTTGGGCAGCTCAGAAATAGGCCTTGTCTCAAAATTGTTGCTATCGTTATTCAAACGTGTGCATCACCTTCTAAAGGAAAATCAACCAACCGTTGCTTATTAAAAGCCCCGTTTGCGCGAGCAAATTTTACAATAAAAACTTGTTCGTGTCAGCTGGATAGCTTGACATGTTCTTTTTCCTTGTCTAAATAAAAGGAACTTGCTTGTGTGAACGAGGCTCAAGTGAGAATTCCCTTTGTTGGGAACTCAGTAGCAATGATCCCTCTTACGTGGGGAATAAACAACAGAGAAAGTTATAATTAAATTAAAGTATCCTGGTAAATTGTTGCTATTGCAAGATAGATAAATTTTATAAGTTTCTTTACTTCATCTCTGTGTATACTACAGGAACACAATTGGTCCTCTTTTTGCGCTTAAACCTTAAAAATTTTGTTGAAATGCATAGGCAAACAGCCTACTTTCCTTGGTCTTCATTTCCTTGTTCTTTTTGCCGGTATAATAAGTAACTTTTCCTAGTTAAGATTAAATTAAAGGTTTAATTGTAACGTGTGTTCTTTTTTAATATCTAAAATATCAGAGGAACCTGGCTAATGTGAAAATTACGCTGTAATAAAGGCGACGAAAGAGTAGATACGAGTACAGTCCCACTGTTCCACCTCTTAACTGTTCCCAATGGCTAGTACAAGGGTCAAAATTATGACGACGGTGAGCGTCACTTCTTACTCGCGCGTAGGGTCTTGGGGATGACTAGAACGCACTGATTATATCCTTCCACTTACTGGTTCTCAGCCTTTTACTGACGTCGAGGAATGAGTGGAGAATGCCGGTGGACGCTCATTTAGCTAAGCTCCTTGGGCTGCGAGGTTCTTTCTTTATAATTCTTTTATATTCAGGTGTTAGGGTATCCACACATGTCACAGATACTTCCGCCATTCTTTCTGGTCTGACTGCTCATATATTTCGAGAAATCTTGTATTCGTCAGTGGAAAGTTAGTTCGGCCTAAAACCGGAGAGGTTTTAAACAGGAAAAAGACGTCAATGGTCGTTTAGATCTCTGAACAGAACAGAACTATTTCTCCATTATCGGAGACTGATTCAGGGTCATCACGTAGAATGTTGCCACAACGGTTCAAATATGCGCTATTTGATCTTTCCAAATTTTCTTTTTGTTTCGTTGTTAACTGTGGACTGAAAAAAAACATAGGCACGTTAAACGTGCATGAGCTATTTTGAATGCTTCAGTGTAACTTTAATACTTCAGTGTAACCTTACCAAGAGTGATGAATCTACCTTTTTCGTCCTAAATGTAGACTGGATTTTTGTGCGAAATTGGGTATTGCCGTATATAAATGGAAACGCTCAGATGCGTCGATCCTCATGCTATATGTATTCACTTTCCCCTGCCTTTCCCTGTTACATTTGGTGCAAGTTAAACAGATTATTAAAGTAAAATAAATATCTACTCACCAAACGTTGATTAGAAGGAAAACTCTAAGGTTTCCTCGGAGGTTCTTAAGCCAAAATATGACTTATTGAATTCGAGTAGTTAAGAAATACCAGGATTCTTATCATTGTGGTAGATGGTTGCATCATCACCATTCACGAGGTTTTCACGTGCGATTCTACTCAGTGAAATAGTCCTTAACTCCAACAACTTATTTATGTTTTAAAAGCTATTGCTTCTTAAAAGACAAGAGCCTTTTATAAGGCATTGGTTACAAAACGAAACAGGTCTTCATACGTTCAAGTTACTATTATTATTGTGAAAAGCCAATCTGCATGAGATGTACAGTCACACAACTGGCATGTGAAAGTGTTGGACTTTGCCCCCTTTCGTTGTTCGTACGTGAGGGAATTCGAGTTATCACACGGTAAACAGAATTATAAAAATAACTCATGCACACAATTTGCTAAATAAAATACGTTTCAATAGCTATAATGCTTAGTATGTAGGAAGGATGTATCATGTTGTTCACTTATTTTTTTGTTTTGCCGGAACGAAAAAAAAAGGTTTGTTGAACTTTGTAAGCGAGAGAATAATATTTTTAAAGCTTGTTATTTGGGCGTAGCACACGGCACTTAATCGCACTTTTACGATCTCAAAAGTTAATCTGACTCTTCAGTATTTTGGCCTCATCGAAATTTGGAAGTCTGAAGTCCAGGGATGAAATCTATCAAAAATATTTGGCATATTAACGTCGGGTTTTGGTCACAATAAGATTCGATAAGATCACAAGCAACGAACCTTGAAACACAGAAACACGAAAAACGGATCGAAATCCACCAATCACAAATCATAAACAATGACCTTTTGAACCCATTGAAGAAAACTTTCGTTTCCTAAGAGGTCCGCTAAGATGATTGACGTCTGACATTTTTTTGACGAGAGGATTGAAATGCACCAATCATGGAAAGACAGTTTTAATTGCATGTTTCCTAAGAGGTCATCTGAATTTGCTGTTTTCTTTATTTTATGTCCATTTTTTGTAATTGGTCGATTTTGTTAGGTCGAGTGGATAATCCAATGAGGGACGATTTGGATATCTTTTGATCCGAAATTTTTCGAAGCAACAGTGAGAATCAGTTTGGATAACATTTGGCCGCGGCGTTTCGAGGAACGTGTTAATATATTGTTCAATCATGTTATCCCGGGTTAAACTTACAAATGCACACACTGTTCGCGGGTAAGCCCACACTAAAAAATAACACTGAGTGTTTTCGGAATGGGCTGGTCCGCGAACTCAAAGAAAAACAAAGGAAATTATCGAGACATTCAATGACATCAAAGACTCATGGACCCCATAGACGTAATAACAAATCGGAATATCAGGAGTGTACGTGTAAAATGGATAAAAGTTTGAATACAGGAATGTTGAACAAGTTTGAGAGTCACAAGATTTGTGTAGCTTGTTATCAGTGTGACAATAGTGATTTTGATTTTTGCATTGCGGAACACAGCGAGTTGCCTGTGATATAAATCTGTTCCGATGAAGGAAGAAACGATTGTCAACAATTGAAGCCAAAAGGGACTTAGGCTTCTTTTGGAACTACTGTGATAACTGCAACAATTCTTTTTATTATTTCAATTTTGTTTAGCAGGGTGACGATTAAAGTATTCGTTTTTGTATTGCATGTTGTGTTTTTTCATACGATGCTGTGCGTTGGGATTTTGCATTATCAGCAAGTTTTGTGTTAGTGTTTTGATGGCAGCGAGGTGACGACAAGAGAAGGTAATGAGCTAGTTGTACAGAAGGAAAATTGTGTTGTGGAGGAAATAAAAGAAGTTGAATTGAGATGTCGTCGTGGGAAATTTATTTATAACAGAACTTACAATTTCATTGGTTTAAACCAGGTTAGTCCATTATATTTTCCGCATGACAAATTACCATAAAATCGAGATTGTAACTCGAAACACGCGTTGTTTTCAAAATTTGCATAAATCGGCCGCTGCAAAGGAATTTTTAGGTTACAAGCGCTTCAAAATACTGTACCTTCAGAGCGGCATAGCTTTTACTTGTTGTGCTGTATCTTTCAAAACTATCGATCGATTCTAGCTCAATACTCTCAAAGCAGCGTTTTAAATGTTAAAGCCCGTGGCTGGTTGAAATCGTCTCTTGTTTGTTTTCAAACGATTTTAGGATGGATCGAATCGACTTTGGATCGATTATCATTTTATCAGCTTGTGGTATGAACGAAACCTTTTTTTTCTCGATAAAGTTCACTCAACAAATTTAGAAAGATTTACTTGACTTTTCATATGTGGAACGAACTGACTTTTTTGTGGAACGAACTGACTATTTTATGGAACGATCTGACTATTGATTGGAACGATCTGACTTGGAACGATGTCAACGATCTTACCATGGAACAAAATGACCGGTTACCGTCATGCCCCTAGCAGACTACCAATGAACAAATTAAAATCTTTCTTACAGAAAACACGGAAAGTGACACTTTTTGTATGGAAGAGTATTCGAAAAAATACACCATTGGCGTCCGAAATTCATTGTTACGTTAAAAGTAGAAAGGGTTTGCACTTAAACAGGTACAGAAGTAACAGTAACAGTGTGAAGTTTTTACTTAAGGGGCAACTCCAAAACTAGTTCGTAAACGAGGGAAGGTGTATCTGTCGTCCAAGCATCAGAGCACAGGCGATTTAGGTGGAATGAGATATGCAAATAGGCTTCTATGTAAGAATTTGCCCCTCTGTACATGTAATTGTCCATTTTATGGTGCTTAAAATAGTTGAAATCACCGGGTTAATTTTGGCCAATTTCAGCTTTGTACTGATATAGACAAGACTCCAGGATCTTCAGTTTATGTAGATGCTACAAAAGCAATTAATGCTCCATACTGTCAAGGAAATGTTACAGGATTTGGGGAAAATGGTGGACAACGATGTGTCGCAATGAGCCTGTGCGCTTTAATTTACAGTAAGATAACAAAGATGACTTCAGTTGATGATATGACTCAAATAATGATTGTTGGTATTCAATTATATTCTTGTCTGTCACTGCTTGCAAGACAGAATTGCCAGGAATGGTTACAGTGTTTGAGCAATTTTTCCACCTTGAATACAGTTACAGTTATACTTCTAACATCCATCTGTACTTTATATGCCACTCACAGGTTACAGCATTTCAAACACTCTTGGCACTGAACTACAACTCATTCATTTTACCGGTGGCAATAATTGGTGTTGGTTTCTACAGCACTGAGGCTGGGGGATATAATGCATTTGATTCTCATGCTAGAGATATGTATCATAACAGTCATAGTGAAGGGACATGTGTATTGTTGGAAATACCATCCATGCATAAATTAGTACAATATTTTTAGACTCTACATAGGAAT